ATATGATGTCCTTCTGTGCTCTAACACACTTCCCATGAGCCCCCCACCATGAGCCCTGCCTGATGCCAGCTTTAATCTGTTATTCAGACCAGTAGTTCTGTCTTCCGCTGTGCTGCCAGGAAGGGAACAAACGCAGTGTGAACTTAAGCACAGTTAGCTCCTGTGATAGAAGGCACTTTCTCTCCCCCACCGTCTTCATTAACCCGCAGAGCAGCCGCTGGAATCAGCCCCTCACTGAGAACAGCTCTCAATAGGAAACAGCGTGAACCTAAACACTGTTTGTCTCAGAATCAGGCTGTATGGTGCACACCTATAGCTACAAACCAAAACATGCCATGAAAAGACTCCTCTGATTGCACTGGAAGAATCTTGGAGGATGATGATTGTTCAGGAAGTTCACGTGTTAAATTTCTTGCTCATTGATTTACCAACTTTGTTCAAATAACAACTATAAAAGCAGTTGTAGAACACAGACCTGTTAATGCACCTCCTGATGCACATCATAAGAGGCACAGTTCCATTGCATAATCCAGAGCGTAATCCGGATTGCCTCTAATCGTTTGTCCTTTGTCCCATTCCAGAGATTTACTGAACGTTTTATTTAAAGCAAACTTTTTGAGGTGTAACAAGATCTTAGACTCAAATCTGCATCTTACTTTAATGTAATTTACAATATGGCAAATCATATGTATTTATATTAAGCAAGCTTGAAACTGTTACAGTATGTTTGTATCAGTATGCATATTTGGAGGGCTTCAGATTTTTCAGAGCCAGAGGAATAAATGGACAGTACACTCAATCCAAAACTCAACCTCCAATTCTTATATTTGAACCTCTCTAATTTTTTTTGACCCAAACGTTGAATTATGAAGTCCAAAGAAGTCATTAAAATATCACCTGCCGGGCGCGTGCAGGTCAGCCAGCCATGGCCGTGTTTGATACATGACCCCAGACATCACAATCACAAAGTTCAACAACTCTCTCCTCCGAGCGGCTGTTCTCACTGTAGGGGGCGTGTGCTTCAAACAAACTCAGAGCACTGGACCAAAGAAGAACAACAGGGAACTTTGTCACTCATTTTGGACCAATTATCTACATTTCCTCTGAAAACATTAAACATTTATGTTCATCCAAAGCATCTAACCTTCATCTTAAAGTATGTGACCTGTTTAACAACATATAAGTGTGAGAGTGTTTCAGATAAACACAGAATAAATAGTGATTCACCAAAAACAATACGAAACTGTTCTTGCATTGTTATCCGTATTGAGTTGTCTAAGCAATGCTGATGCACAGAATCGGACGCTAAAAATGAAACAGAGCCCAGCTTCCCCAGTGCAACTCACCAGAGAACTCAAGACAAATAGAAGTTCCTCTAATTAGACAAATTGCAGATGTTACAATTTGTCAAGTGGGGAAAACTCTGTCTCTCTGCACAATTTGGCCTTAGTCATGGCCAATGGACTCCGTCTGGTGTGTTAATGTGATCTGAGTTCTCCCCAAGTTAAATGGACAAAGAGAAGCAAAGCAGAAAGCCTGTAATTAACTTCTCTGCACGCTGTACTATCTCGCTTAAAATGAACCATAGGCTTCTTGCGACAGGAGTGACAGAGAACACGGAGGCGTTGGAATGTGCTTCTGTGCCGTGAATGTTCAATGACTAAACATATCTATCGTTGTTCTTCTTTATATCGATCGAGATGATGGGTCAGTATTTCTCATGGTCTAACAGTACATCATCAGCAGCAGTTATTGAACCGGTAAAATGGAAAACTCATGTTTGCTGTGCTATGAGATTCACATTATGTCAGGATAGCGCTTAAAATTTCATTCTTTCAACGGGAGATAGAGCTTTTAACCGTGTAATTGCATTGTTCCATCGTTTAAAAACAGACCATGAATTCTTTTGAGCGCTGATAGTAGGAACTTCCGGCACAAACATGTAATTCTGCCGCTCCAGTATGATGTCGTTCTACCACTATGGCATCACACATTAAAACAGAAGTATAGCCCCTAAATTCGTTTTGGTAATGTATCTGGTGAATTGTGATTCTTTTCAATGGACTTGTTTGCTGCTGGTTATTTTCCAATCTTGAAAAAAAAAAATTAAAAATTGTCACTTCACATTTCAAAAAGTAGATCATAATAATTGTTAATTGACAAAATAATACATAATATTACCGCCCCGGGCAGGACACGACCAACATGCCCTAAGTCGCATTTTCTTAAGCTTTTCATCCTCCCAAAAACATCCTGACCATTGAAACACCATCCTCTCTGATTACCAGCCAACAATGTGTGTCTCGCGCAGTCATACTAAATCATAAACTCCATTATTTGTGGGAAAAAACCTGCGTTGCTTTTGTTGCCAGATGTGGTTTATTAATCTCCATCACTTTTTGCACTGTTCCTTTCACCTGCAGAAATCAGGAAATAAGTTATCTCCCCTTTAACTGTACGCTCCCACCTACAACACTTAAGATGGATCGACTTCAAGCGCACGGCTAAAGACTGTCATAAATCAAATATGGCTTCATCTATCAATGTGTGCGCTTGGAGGTGCAGGCCAATTATGAAGCGCATCACTGCCTCGCTGCACAACCATAACTGCTACAGCTCACCTGCCACCTCTTCTTTCTCATGTTCTGGTGTATATTTATGCATATTCCACAAACATGTCTTCATAATCACACTGTAATGCTTTGTCTGCAGCATGGGACATATGTATAGATGTCTGTGATGGTATTTTGGGCACATTCAATGACATTATCAGGTAAAAATATATGAATCAAAATAGAAGGGAACTTTATGCTCAACCTTTTCTGTTCATGTTGTTCATTTTATGCCCAACATTGCTGCACTCACAACAAAACAAGCGTCATGGCTATTGTACTATTTATAATGGATTTTACCATATGCCTGCCTCAAATCAAGGCCTTCAAGCCTCAGCAGTAAAAAGGAATTTGGATTTTGCCGTCTGTGTTTTGCAGAATAGACTGTATCTTTATAATTCTCCTCTTGATGTGGACTTGTTGTGTGTACGTATGACAACGATGTTTTGTATCCCAAAATAATGCCATTTTGAAGCGTGATTATTATAGATTCATTTTCCATTCTATAAGACCATCAATTTGATCGTCATGGTTTCATTGTACTTGAATGTTCAATGGGAAAAAGGAACCAGGGCCTAATTTGGTGGTACAAAGCTTCGCATTCATCGGACTCTTTACACATTGTATTGATCATTGCTTAAGTGAACCCATTTCAGCTTTGCCCATTTCTGGGTCTTTCCCAAGGTCGCATTTGTGCACATTGTCCATCTGTGCTTGCTTACAGTACTTTGAATAACACAAAACATACATTTTCTTAAGATTTATTCTGAGAGAGGGTGTATTTTAGGAGTCATGCAAACAGAGAACGGTTTGCAATCATAAATATTGTATCTAGGAAACGCTAATTAAAATCAATTTTCAATTTCTCAATATAATGGTAATTTTAAGCAGGGATATTGAATTGGAGAAATATTTATAGAAATAACAGGAGAGCTGTTGCTGGGCAAGACAAGAAGTTATACGCTTTTGAAACTAACATGGTTCATATCCAACTAATGTATTAATTTGTTACTGCATTTAAACAAATATTGCTGGTATATTTGCAAATGTTATCAAAGTAACCGCATCATTCATGGGGTATGTATAATGAGCACTTGTTTATTATAATACACATCATCAATGACATCATCATTGTAGACAAAGTGTATTGATTGCTGTATCAATGTTTTCAATGATGAATATGGGCGAGTTCTGTCACGACAACACATTATTATAGACAGTGTTGGGGAGAATACGTTCTTCATGGTCCAATCAGAGCACTGTATTCTTAATAATTGGAAAACTCTCACCGTCATTTGCATATGTTTATGATGTAAAAAAGCGTCATACAATTAGAAGACTTGTGGCGCTACCTCCAGGCGAGATCCAGATCTTTTCAGACTTATGAAGCTAAGCAGAGCAGGGCCTGGTCAGTACTTTTATTGGAGACCTACAAGAACACCAGGTGCTATAGTGGGACGGCTGAGGCTGTAAAGTGTAAAAACTGTTGGTGTGTCCTAGAAGGAGACTGGGGTGGGCACAGATGGTTGGTGGTGGTCAGAGGCCGATTGTACATACAGGTTACCTCGCTTCTATCAGTGTGCCGCAGGGCAGCTGTGGCTACTGTAGTATTTTCTCACCAACGTGTACGAAACTTATAAATAAGGCCTGGTTAACCTTTGTTTTGTACCATTTGTTATGTATTTTTATTGTTAACTAAAAGAAATAGAACACATCCACTTTGTTTACAAAATCCTGCCCACATTTTTTCATATACAGTTACTCAAAAATGTACTCCTCGACACATCTTTCTGAAACTTAAACATTTCTTGTCAGAACTCGTCCATATTTGTCATGGTTTTGGGTAGATTTAGCATGAGAAAAACAGGCATGTATTGTTAAAATGGCTAAAAAATCAATCAAGAAGGCCTGTGTCCTCGCGCTAACTCTACTCCCCAATCTGTGTCACTGTGGCTTATAGCGACTTTGCTTTGTTTTTGTAGATAAGTACTCTGTTTTGAGGGAGAATAGAAAATGCCATTAAAACATCTCCCCTTTTCCAGGTACCTTATTGTGTGTCTATATGAGAGCACGACACACCTGCTTGAACAATGTTTGCTTCCGACTGACTGCCATGTCTTTCTTCTCACCATGTTCCACTTGTGTGTCTCCCCTATGGACCCCCTTTCCTCTTTTCCCATCTCTCATTCAACACCCATGTATCGCTTGATTTATTTACTGGCTGGTTGCTTTCAAAAAAACAACAACATGCATGCACTTCCATATGTACTTATCCACCTTCTTTCACCCAAATTGTAGAACCAGGCAGATGGCCCGTCGGTGCGGCAAAACGAACCGTGCTCGCATACCCCTAATGAACACCCCCTTGGCCTGTGCGCTCCTACCCAGAATCAGAGCTCTGGGACGGGCAACGCCACCGGGCCTGTCCCCTCGCGCTACCAGCCCCCCAGCTGCTGCGACATCCCCTGCGCTCTCATTGTGCAGCACTCCTACGAGCCCTCCAATCCCTCTGAGATCACCCCCAAAATGAGAATGAGCACCTTCACCACCTCGCCCCCCACCCCCAGGTTATACATTCAGTAGAAGATTCCAAACACACATGCTTTGGTTAGAAATTACTCTGAAAATAGATGAGGCAAAAAAAAAGAAGAGAAGGGAATATAGGCGTAAAAATTGTGTATTCACTGCGCAATCTGCACGAAAAGAAAATGCACCTTTTTTATGTGAGCTTGCAATGCTGTCTTTGCGGCACAAGAGGGCGGTGTTTCTCTATTCAAAGGCAAACCAAGCATTGCATTGTAAATATGAATACTTAAAGAGCGTTATATTACTATAGAACTATATTGTGCTTTATTTTTTCGAATGGTTTCTCGAAATGTCAGGGCTGTACATAATACATGAAGGTCTCTTGGATTATTAATATCCATAATATTAATATTGTTTGAGAGTAGATCTAATCCAAAACGACAGAGGCAGTTGATATGACTAAAGGCATATCACACATCACTCATCTCTCTCACATCATTTCACTCCGTTATGATAGTGCAGCCAGTTTCCGCTCCCTTGCAGTCCTTCTCTCCTCCCCAACTTGTCACTTCTTTAGATGTCCACCAGGGCGCGTCACTGTCCTGCCTTTGTGCCACTCAGCTGCATACACAACTAGGGCCAGAGGTACCTGCAAAAACCAATGGACACGGTTAGTAAAATAAAAAAATAAAAAAACAGAAACCCTGATTCCCTTCAAAGATCCTTGTGTGTCCCAGTTTATTCCCAAAATACTCACATCCCTTCACCTGTTGGGCACCAAACCAGTTCCTCTGTTTCACCCTGAGAGAAGCACCCTGCCAACCCAGTGACTGTATTTATCCACAACCCTTTAATATCTCCTTTTATTGCACAGATGAACAAACCCTACTGCCTTTTCCACCCTTGTACTGTAGCATGGACCTTCAGCTGACTGATCACCCATTTATTCTAATTTAAGATAATAAATGTTTAGTCACTTTATGTGTAAGTTTCCTTTCATATAGCTTTATTATGTGTGTTATATTATTATGATTAAGTAAGACACATCTGGCCAATAAAGGTTCACATGAAAACGGGATGTTCATCTCATTGTGAATGATTGGCGAAAGTAAGTGGTTATTTTATGTGGTGCACTAGTAACTTTTCAGGAGTGAAATCCACCATGGAGATTATTTTTGCGTTGTTTAGAAGGTCCCGCAGTATAGTATTAAACGTATTTGCCGTGAACTTAATGTATGGTGGATGGAAGTGTTGAAATAGCTTGAAAAACAGTGCTTCCTTTCAGATTCAGACTACTTTTCTCATCACACCAGGGGCTAGCACAGTATATAAAAAAACATAATAACACAGGAAATGTTAGACTGTAACACTAGCGATCTGATTTGTAAGCGATCTTACTGTAAGACAAAATACACGTTTAATACTATTCTGTGGAACATTCCAGACATGTAATTTCTTCATAAAGACATATAGATGGTGTACCCGCTTTCAGAAAAGTTACTCAGTGCATCTTTAAGTATGTTTATTCTGTATAAATAGTTGCTGATAAGATGTTTGACACTTGCACGTATTATGCTCCTATAGTCCACTTAAGATGCTCCCTTAAAAACCTTGTAAATCTGTGTATAATTCTCTCTCTGACCACTGCTCATGGTGTCTCTATCCCTCCACCATCTCCCCCCACCCATCACCCTTCATCTTACCTTCCGTCATTGTCGTTATGTTGTCACGCCTCGCACATTCCGCCTATATTTTGGCATTGCACACACTATATTCATGCTGTTTAATCATGTGCCCTTATTTGGTTGCACTTCCTTCAAATTGGTTATTCTATCATTTTTGTATCTACAATTTATGCTTATTTCTCTCTCTCTTCCAATTTGACAAACATGGAATCAACTATGATCTTGATAATCCATTGTATTTTGATATACCCCCTATCACAACAACAACAACATTTACATCTTCTTGGACATATTTCCCTGCAATACTCTATTCCGTACTAAACAATGGCCTGTTATAATATTTTTGATTGGAACTTTTTCTATGGATTACAATCTAACCAACCCAATGTACACCGATCGTCCAATTTTTATCTTCCTCTAATACTTTCATTTTTTTTAACCTAATTGCACCCACGCAAACTTTTGTATGTTGCCATTCCATCCCCTACATTGCATATGAAATTCACTTTTCTTGGTACATTTGTGATTGGATCCACTGTCCCTTTTTTCTCTGGATTACAATCTAACCAACATTACTGATCTTACTGCATTCTTATATTGAACATGGATCACTATTTTTTTCTTCACTTTTTTGAATCTATATGCAACCATGAAAACATTTCCACATTGCCGGTCCATCCACATCTTGTCCCACCTTCCCAACCCTATATCGCTCCCTCCCTCTGCTGCCCCCTGCAGGACGATAAGGAGATCGACTTGGAGCACCTACACCGGCGCGTTAACAGCCTGTGCACCGAGGACGACAGCCCCCACAAGCAGTTCTCCACCTCTTCCGTCGACCTAACCCCTCTCGACATGGATGCCCTGCCAGCTGCGCGACAGGCCCTGGAGCAGATCAGCGACTTCCGCAACACCCACATCACCACCACCACCTTCATCCCCGAACAGATCCAGACCCTGAGCCGCAGCCTCTCCGCCAAAGCCGCTGCCGGGTTCTCCGCTGGTTTCGGGGGCAGTGGCGTCGGAGGTGGCGGAGGTGGACTGCAGGATCATCGGACTGGGCCGTTCAGGCAGAGGGCGCCAAACGGTGGCTTCTTCAGGAGTCCTATCAAAACAATGTCCTCCATTCCCTACCAGCCAACTGGCCCCGGACCCAACTTTGGATATGGCAATGATCCGGATAGGGGCACCTCCATTTGAAGAGGCGAGATTCAATCGAAGGAGGTTTGAAGTATAATCTGTGTACATAACAAATCTATAACAAGTCTATTTTGAGATTAGGTGAAGGTGATGGTCGAGGTGGTCCTGCATTGTACCAATGTACTGCTTACATGTGTCCAAATAATGGCTTGAACATTCATATCAATCTTGTATTAGTTGTTGGAAGTACAGTATGTTGCGAGCTCATTCAGGATTTGTCCCATAGACTGGAGGAGGAGTGGACTAACCGATGGCTGACGCTACCCTAATACGAGAGAATCCTTTTAGCGCTAACTCGAACAGGCACTAAGAGAGGGAAACTGGAACGAAAAATAAGAGATATCCATTCAGGAGCTGTGCTGATCTGTCCCTGTTCCTGTTCGCTAGCTTTAGCCTAATTTGGGAAAGCACTCGATTGGTCAGTTGTTAGGACATTACTGGATTTACAGAAGCATTAATCAAAATAAAGACACCAAGATCAAAGAGAGCCGTAAACCCCAGACTTAGGGCCCATAGTGGTTAGTCTACTTACCAAGTATTTGAAAGGGTGTTGGAAAACGTGCTGGCAAAACTTTGCCCGTGAGTACTTCTCTATTAGATTTCATTGAGCTGCGATGTTTGCATTATTTATCCTCATACAATCTCTATGATTTGTCCCCAATTTTCTTTTTTAATTTAGATTTACATGAATACTTTGTGTCTAATTATGATAATTTTATTTAAAAAAAGATAAGCAATGGTGAAGTCCAATTTTAGACCTGGTTAAGCAAAGTATGGCAATTGGATATGTGGTTTGTGAATTATTATTCTCACCACTGATCTGGAATATTAATCATTAGCCAGCCAAGTACATTTTCAAAAAGCAGAACAGATGTCTCCTGTAACTTTACCCATGAATTTATATAAATAGATAAGTTAAACTCATTTTTAATCTATCAAGACAAGATTGATATTACATTTCAAGCCATTTCACGTCATGTAGGTATGTATATTTTTGCCATGTAAATCAAACAGGTTCCGATCTTTGCTTTGTTGTCGTTGTCGTGGTCGTTCGTGTTTTTTTGGGGGGTGTGTGTTTTTTTATTGTGTTTATTCCTTGATTGTTCCTTTTTATGACTTGAGGACTGCGTCGTGTGCAAAGACGATATGAACTCAAACCCAAACGACACTGAAGGTTGTCGATGAAACTCCAGGGCTGCCTCTGCTCAATGGCCTCTATGCGAACAATCCAAAGGAGCTCAAGCATTTTAACAGTGCATCATGCAACGTCTTATAGGCCTATATCTTCAAAAAGGCGGGAAAAAGTTGCCATGGCACCTCTGCTTAATGCCATAACAGAGCGACCGAGAGACGCTGTACAAACAATCTGTCATTTTGGTGCCAAGGCCGAAACTATTTTCTCCTTTTGATGCACATTATACACAAACTGGTCACCCCCACTCCACTGTACCATGTATCAGTGCAGAGACCTGTAAGTTTGATTGTATTCTTGAGCGGACGTTTTTCATGTGTACCGTGCTCTGGGCTTTTCCAGGTCTCTACTGGGGAATCGTTAAAAGGGATTATCAAAAAAAACAACTTTAAGAAGAAAAAAAGTCTAAAAGATCACGAACCTTCTGCTTATTCTCTGTGTTTTATTGATTTTTGAAAATGGTTTGAGTTCAAATGTGTTGAATGTGTTTTGGTCGAGGAAAAAAAATGACATTGTTTTTGAGCTGTCTTAAATGTTCTCTTTTCTTGCAGCAAACTTTGGAAAACTTCTCAATGAGTGCTCCGTCTGTTTTTACATCATTGCGTCATGCATTTTCTTCAGCAGTTTCTTGTCAAAGAGTGGCCTGGATTAAAACAAGAACAGTGGTTGGTCAATAAACACGTGTCAAAGGTTTCAAAGAAAAGCCATTTTGAACAACATCTTCGAACAGGCCTTAAATGTGTTGTGTTTGTCACATCAGGTAGAATCTACACCCTCCCACTGTCAAATCCCCAAACCTTGCGTGAACATCGTTTGAATGGCCTTGTGAGCTATGCGTCACACGCCTTTCCCAATGTTTCATCCTGTAATGTTAGCGTTTCTATATCTTGTGTTTAAAGTGCCAATTATTGAAAAATGACCAGTAAGGTGCATTTGGGGACTGGGATGGGGACAGTACAATTCATGGGTTTCAGTCACGTTTGACATTTGGGAGGAATTTGAATTGTTGATCCAAATTTTCTGTCTCTGAAACCCTTGGATAGGAACATACACTTTTGTGGACAACGGGGAATGAAACAGAACCAAACATTTATTTTTTGTCACTAACACTGTATTAATAATTGATAACGTTATAGTTAGTTAGTTTTCCGTTTATCTTTAAGAACTAAAAAGCGCAAATGTTGTGCGTAGAGATCACATTTTTGAGGCGAGCGTTGCTAGGCATTCTTTATCTCTATAAGGCTACAGTGCGGCTTTTGAATGACACTATAGAACAATTTAAAAGTTTTATTAAGTATAAAGGAGAGTTATAAAGTGTATATTTTACATAATTGTTGATGCTATTTTGTTTAACAGAGAGAGTATATCATGACAAGCTTTAGCGTTGCTTTGGGCAGTCATGTGACTGCTTTTACCCTGAGCCCCACCCCAGTAATGTCAACTTCAACAAAACCCTCTGCTTTTCCCACGCTTTTTGCTCTTGGTTTTATATGATTTGCTGGCTAAATAACATTAAGTAGCAAGTTGATTAAAAAGAAAGCATGCACAACTTGCTATCTCGCGCTATCTGTTATTTTTATTTTATTTCATACATAGGACTTGAGGACTTACTTGATAAATTTCAGATTTCAGATTGATGATGTACAGTATTTAATATAGGCCTATTTTGTTGTATGTGTTGCATATTATTCAAAACCTGAACAAACCGGGGCCTCTGTTACAAGTGGCAAGCTTTCTGTGTATAATTTGTCTAATAAACAAGTTTTCTACACTGGTATGCTACACCTGGTTTTACTTATCAGCCTCATATTTAACCAACAAAGGCGGTTTCTCTCCATAGACACATTATTCGCTTCCTGGAATGGAGAAATAGAACTGGCAAATTCACCACCAGGAAAGTTTAAGTCGTAATGGAGACTTTTGAATAAAACATTGTTTTATGTTACCAATCAACATCGATTCACTGCACTATATTCTATTATAGTTCTACTTAAATGGACTGCAGCATTTGAATAATGCAGTATATTCCATTTGTGGAGCCTTGCTGTGTGATGAGAGACCTCCTGGAACATCATATGACACTGGGGAGACTGAAATGTTGTTGGGTTTATAGACACTTCATCCGCATTCAATAGCATGAGTCTGGTTTGTGCGTGAATAATCTGATGACTTTCATGACACTTTTGATGCAATGTTAGGGTTTTTCCACTTGATGTTTTGGTTCTCTGAAGGTCAAAGCTAACGCAACCTGTGGCACCGTAGCAGAGGCTCAGAGGAGTGTCCTGGATTTGTCTGGTTAAAAATCACATGCACTCTACAAGACTCTGTTGTCTCTTTTTACCAATAACATTTATTCTGCTGTGACACGATCCCAGACCTCCACATCTTTAATAATTTTCTTCAACTCCATGAATGTAATTAAAAGAAAACAAGAATATCATTAAACGTTTAGTTTCATAATTAAAGTCACAATGTGAAATGAATGACAGGCTCATCACAGGTGGTAAAAACCTGAATACAACATCACAGAAAAGGTTTATATTTCAAAAATGAACTGTAAGCCATTATCATAATAATGATCAGAAATAAACGCTTGTTTTGAGTCTAACGTGTATTAGTTTCACATGTTAAGTTGAATTACAGAAATAAAATAACAATATTCTAATTATCTGAGTTGCACCTTTTACAAACTTTGATTGGTGTTGTATAATAGAGATTAGGTACATTACATTAATTTCACATAAAACACAAATCAACTTCCCATTATTAATACTGTATCTTTGTAGAAAAGTGTGAATATAGAACACAATGTTGCATTATAAATCCAAGAGACATTTTATAGCCGTGACTGTTCACACCATAATGTTTCATGGAAAGTTTGATGTGACTCTTCTATTTGGTGTATTACAGTTGCGATCTTGTGGGGGTTTAACCATTAAAATATGTCTTATGGCAATGATTCTGTGCATACGCGCCAACTTTCTCTCTCCTCTCAGCGCTCCTCATGCATGTAAATATTCAGGAGGCAAAGTAAACACTCGCTGTGCGCTATAGGTCCTGAGTTCATGCATGAGCAGCGCTTTTGTACGCCTCTCCTCCAATGGGCCGTCACTTCAAAAGAGCACAGGACTGATGCTAACAGCTGGAGAGACGCACCGCTGTGACGCACCGCCACCAAGTTCAGTACGCAATCACAGCGCAGTTCCGCGGTCTGACCACACGAGGGCGCGGTGCTGCATATATCATCCACTGCTGTGACTGTAAATTGCTGTGATGCATTTATTGCATCATGAAACAAGGTAAGGAACCATTATCCTATAAAAATGAAATATCACTGAAGTTCGAGTTGACTCCTACATTATGTTTAGGCTACTATTATTATTTTATATTGTCTTCTGGTGGCTTTGACTCTTCTTTCTCATCATTATTAATATATTTTTTGTTATATCTCAGTTAATCCCCACATGTCTGCAATACAATTTACACATTATGATAAATTCATGAAGGAAGACTTTTAGCTAATTTCCGTGATTTATTTCTGATTGGATGAAAAGGTTCATGAATACTGTTTGGACATTGATTTGTGTAACTTTTACTAAAGAACTATAGACTATTGCAATACTTTAAGCAAAGGGGATCTAAATAAATAAACAAATCACCACGTGCTCGAGAGTCCCGAATGGAAAACAATATAAACATATATACGCGTCTGGCTAAATGAAGTAAAATGCACCTTTGTCAAGCAGCTCCTCTCATCTCCTGCAATAACTGAGCCAGAGGTGCAGAGTTGTCCCCATTGGCCCCCTGCGTATATTCTGCCACGTTATCTGTCATCATTTGATCGTCTGGAAAGATTTTTTTTTTTAAATGCTTAAACTAAAATACAGTTTTAAAGCTGCGGGCACAAAAGTACGTTTTCTGAACAGAACAAAACCAAGCTGTCTGAGAAAACCTTTCATATTTAGCATCTTGGCAGAGAAAGCTCATGTGAGTCACTGATTCCCGCTTTGAGTTGAGTGCTGATTGGATGAGCATGTGGCTCTTCTTTTAGAAACTTTGAAAACTTTGAAACGGTTGATTTGAAGATGTGACAATACACGCATGTGAACTGAGATGAGAGTAAAGCACTATTGATGTTTTATTACACAATTCATTTTGTGCTTTTAAAGTTATGAGTCACAACTTTAATAGGCAGCTGTGATATGAGATTGCTTATTATGCAATACGCACATTTTTGCATTATAGGTCTAATTATCAATAGCCTGTGGTCACTTTATTCACTGGCAAAAGATTAGATACCAGCAATAATAATCACATTAACAACTACAAATAAAATTGACAAGTCTTCACAACTTTCCAAGCTGCGGTTCTGTCCTGTCGCGACGGTGTTTCCACGGAGACGAGAATGAGAAGCGGCAGCACGCAGACTCCGCGCTATCGCCCCCTCCCCTGCGCGCGCGGGAGTCCCCCCCGGCGTGACCAAAGGAACATAGAGTCTCCTTTGTGCGTGCGACACTTTAATAATCGCCGGGTACAATGTCCAACCTGTCGGTAGCTTCAGGAGCCCGGCTCGCCTGTTGGAGCGGGGCTTGTAGGTGGGACGATCGGCGCCAGACCACAGCCCCCGAGACTGCCCCACGAGGAATACATGAATACAAATACAATGGAGTCACGGCTCTTTATCTCCCCAAATCATGTCATTTCCACAGTCTCATCCATTACGAGTCAAAGTCAAGGCAAAGTTGATTTCTGGCGCATTAAACCGAGCTTTAGTGATTTATGACACATGCAGTTAAGTGATCCAACAATTCCAAAAAAAAATAGGAACAACATGAATACGCCAATAATAAACAACCTATATTATATGTGTACATGCAGCTGAATAGGTACACAACGAGACAAGAGGTGTGTCATGCAGCATGGATTAAGTATAAATAAATGGACACGTGTGACGAATGACTAAACTCCATGCAGCAAAGTTAAACTTAAAAGTTGTTCATAAATAATACATTTGGTTTGTCGCAACATAAGTCTGTATATATATAGACTTATGTCAAATGTGAACATATCAGACCACAGCATGTTGTATTTATCTTTGTTTATTTTTTTGATTTATCTTGACAGAGCCATGAGCCACTATAGTGATGCTTTGGACTGCATGGGGCTGATTTCATGAAATGACTTGAAAATAAACTATATACCAGCTTTAAGCGTCAGGAAGCATGTTCCGAAAAGCCAAATTATTATTTCCACGACACAGGCTGCCACTGTATTCACCTGCGCTAATGGCATACTCCTGTTTAAAGAGCGCAGCGTGGAAATTGGTGGAATTGGTCATTTCCACTTTGTAATTACTAGTGCATTGTTCTTTTGGGAAGATTGTTGATCCTAATGAGATGGCTTTGATCAACAGATACAGGTGACCGAAGGTGACCTGGGTTGAGGGGACTGTGAAGCTGCTCATTTCTGACCTGATCCGATTTAACTTTCTGTAAAAGTCTGGGACAAGATTGACGTTTAAAACAGGCTAACAGGCTCTGTACACCTTATATCTATATTGAAGTTCGACAAAGTGGGTATAACGGTTTCTCACATTTGCAAATTAAATAATATCGGCCTGTTTTTTTCACGCGATGATAAATAAAACAACACACCTTTCCCGTAAAAGTGTGGGGAGCTGGTGTTTCTTCTCTCTGCGGCCTTTCTCCTCACAGGGCGTTCCGGAAGATGGATCAAAAGCTGCTGCGCCGCCACAAAAGAGGAGGAAAGAGGAGAAGCGCTCCGTGTCAAGCAGGGGATGAGCGAAGGCCGCGGCATCATTCAACTTTCCACTTGGAGACTTTTAAATATACAACTGTTGCACATAATCTATTCTGCACTTATGACGCCGATAGTGTATGTGTTTGCAGAACCAGAGCCATTGCACGACTTTGACATGGGGTAGAAGTTTCACAGATAATGGGAATGATGTTAATATTTATGTCTATTGGTTTCAGTATCTGCTTCAAAACACATATTGAACCTTTGACCTATGGTCTCGTGTTGTCCACGCTCCTCACCTATATGGTCTTCCCGTCCACGTGCGTCCTTCGGGAGGTTCTCCTTACGTCCCCTGCGTTAAAACCTCATAAACTAATGTCCTGGTAAACGGCGGCTCAAAGGGGGAGGTCCCAAATCAGCTCTCTCGTGCCAGCGCAACTTCTCATTGGATGTCCACACGCGACCTGCGCGAGGAGGGGGCTCCCAGGCGCGTGCCGCTTTTTAAGGAGACGCTGCGTCTAGAGACACAAGAGAAGAGGTCCTGCACGCGACTCTCGCAACACAAGCGCGTGGACACTGTTGTGTTTACCACAGACACAGAGAACACCTGTTACTGTTACTTCTGCATCATGGACGTCGCACCTGTGATGGAGAACTGGAGCAAAGTGGCCCACGGCTCAACCCTCCTGGACGGGACAGGTACAGGAGAGGCTGCCCTCACGCTCATGGACAGCAGCGGGGACCCACGCGCATGGCTGGCTCCTCTGCAGTCCGCTGGCACCTGCTCTTCACCGGAGTACCTGCGCCACTCACCCTGCTCCAGCTCTGGATCCTACGGTAAGAGCCGCACATGCGTCCACATCACTTCAGTGATGCAAACTTCTGTTTCAGAATGTCTCGATTTCGTTTGAAGGGCATGTTTTAACATTGTGTCTGTCCTCTTACAGAGAGTGTCTCTCCTGGCTCTTCGGGACTACCCAGCCCTTCAAGCTTCAGGAAAACTGCCAAGAGTCCAGCCCCATCCTCACTCAAGGTGCGGGACTTGTGCCGCCTCAAAGGCGCTGTCAGTGGCTCTGAGGACGGTAGCAGACAGAGAGCTCCCTCCAGTAAACCCGCCAACGGTGTCCAGAAACAGAGACGCGTCGCTGCGAACGCGCGTGAGAGGAGACGCATGCACGGCCTGAACCACGCATTTGACGAGCTGCGCAGCGTCATCCCAGCGTTTGACAACGACAAGAAACTGTCCAAATACGAAACTCTGCAGATGGCGCAGATCTACATCAACGCACTGGCAGATCTTCTGGAGGGTCCCACTCCTAGCGCATGCGCAGAAGGTTCTAGCAGTGGCACCCCAAAGGCGGATGTGCGGCTGGGATCACAGGGAACGTCTGCTCCAGGTGCGCAACTAAGTGGATCGTCGTTTGTGCCCTTCGCTGCCCTGGAAGAGGCTCTCTGCGCGGCCTCAGACTCTATGCGTAAAGCCTCTCCACGGAGCGACGGAGAGTTCTCTCCGCGCTCGCATTTTAGTGACTCTGACGAGGCTGCGCTGGAGCTGCAGTCCAGTGAAGAGGACGAGCTTCCAGAGCCGCACGGGTCCTTCTGAACTCAGCGTCAACAACATGTTGCTCCAAAGAGCGACCCTGCGCCTATGCCCTGTTCAGTGAGAAAAAAAAGTATATTTTTATCTGTAACATAGCCTAAAGATGAATTTTAATATAGTAGGCCTCATTCGGATTTGCCAATAGATGTACATGTATGTCAGTTTCCATGGAGACGCAGCTAGAGCTCTTTATGGGTTCAGCGCCTCTCCGACCAAAAGTCTTCCAGACTCATGCCGTTTGATACGTGTCATTTTTAAAGCAAGTCCCACTTTTGTTTGTAAAATAATGTTTTATTTTATAACTTTTCTTTTTAGTCTTTTGTATATCGGTTTGTCTGTGACTTCAAAAGTTCATGATGTGCACTTTAAATGCGAGCCAGAGGTTTACTTCTTGAGTTTGTGTTCTCCCATAATGCTTTTTACAATTTCTTTTTAGTGTAGGACTGCCAATGGGATAGCCTTAATTTAACCTAGCCATGACTCTTTTGTAAACACTGTGTGATTTTCTCTTGATGAGATGAACTGTATTTATTACGTTGAATTTGATTTGCTTTTTATAAAACTATTTTGATATTTGCTCAATCATTTGCCAGTCACTGTCATATGAATTTGATTACGGAAATAAAGATGCAAAATAACTTTGCTTACCTTTCTTTGATTCCGCTTTAAAAAAGTAGGCCTGTAATAAAAAAAAAATAAAAAATGATTAGATTAAGAGATCCTTTATTTGTCCCAGAGTGGGGAAATTTCGGAGATATACGAACGATTCTGACAACAACCATTTCCATCAGCCTGCAGCCACAATGACATAATAAGAGCATAAAAACCCTCGGAAATAATATGTTATTATTATTAACATTATTATTTTAATAATAATAATAACAATAATAATAATATTAACCTATTATAAAGAAGAAAAAAAGAACATTTATTTGGGCCTTTATAGCACATGTCATTATTCACTGTGCTTAAAGACAGTGTGACAATAAAAGATATCACCTAGACCGGCTTTGTTTATTTTTTGCTGGTTTAAGTTTAGGGCTATTATTTCAGACGACTTAAACTGTATAAATGGCTTCTATTATTATACCAAGCAAACGTTATAAATCAAATGTTATTTTCAGGCTTCAGTTATTTTCTTACGGACCCCGCACTGCATTATGGGCCTGTGGAGCTAGTCTGCACTGTGTAGGCCTGTGCCCATTATTCTGTTATAAGATGATTTAGCTAAAGTAAGCCCCGGACATTCGAACCGTATACTTATGTAATTTATAGGAAAGTGTCTGCAATGGAAACGTGACCAGCACGCGCTCGCTGACCATATGCTGAGGTGCACGCGACCCGGTGTGAGTGCGCGCGTGAGGCAGACTGCAGCGGCCACGCGCAGGGCCCGGCACAGTGCAGTGATGGACTCGGGAGCGCGCACACGGAGCCCATTGTTGTGCGCTCGTGGGCAGAGGTGTTGGATGGCCTCACGGAGCACGCGCTGTCAGCTGGTGAGCGCTCGCGGGTCCCAGCAGGTCCCCGAGGACAGGCCTCAAGAGCAACACACTTTTGCTCAAAGAACTACGCCCCTCCCTGCTGCACTTAGTTTGTTTTTTCTGTTTTCCTTTCCACAAATGAACCATGGCGAGCATCACACTCCCTGTATTCGCCCGTGCACACTTTCAAGCTGCACAAATTGTTTATGAACATCCCTGAAGTTTAGCTGTTGCAAATGTCCACTCTTCTGTTCAACAAGTCACAGTGGAGATGCGAGATAAGAGAGATATCTGAATTGAAGTAATAGATATGACACTCAGCCAGTTCCAGTTGCGGTCACGTTTGCATTTCAGATCCGCGATTATTTAAATTCAGGCCTACACAGTTTACTGCTTGTGTTGCATACTTAGAACACATGTAGTCAAATTTGTATAACTGCGTATTGCACACGGAGGCAAGATGGTAGAATTCATCCTTTTAGTGAGCCTGAACAGAGGCAGGGGTCTAAAATGTGGGTTAACAGAGCGCTCTGTGCGTCAACAGGTGCAATGCAGGGTACGCTGCGGTATAATGATTTCACGCACATTAATTATTTACACAAGGACGTTATGAAAAATAACAACAGTGAGGCGCGTTCACGGAGAACCCGAGATGTACCATATTGGTATCAGTTTCACTTGTTTGTGATGTGGTGACTAATTTCAACATGCATTTCAAACTGTCGAAAACTAGATATTTTATAGATTATTATTATTTTATAGCATTTATTCGCCTGCTCTTTATCTAACGTTTTGATAGTTTAAAGATTGAATAGATTAAAATACAATTGCCACCGTGCAGAGAGCAAAGGCCTATACCTGATATGCTGTTGAAAAAGATGGGCCTGTGATCTAATCTTGCAGCACCCATCCTTTCATTTTACTCTGTGTATTCAAAATAGTACATGCATTCCTGTGCTTTTCTTGTTAATGAAAAGAGAAGCCACTTGCATTTTGAATGAGATATGTGGAGTCGGCCTGTGCCGCTGCCCAAAAGCCAGTGCTCTCTGGGGATGGGAACAAAAGGCAGAACTGGGCCATGGTCTCCATCTGCTGTCCCACAGGGACACACCAGCACAGGGGCACGGTAGGCCAAAGGGGGCTGTGGAGGTGCACGACTTTCAATTAATGTAAAACTTTGTTTATGATCTTTTCACTAATGTTATGGTCTACATTTCTTCAGTCTGCTATTGAGTATACACTTGAGGCAAGATTACTGGGATGCATGTGTTTCATAGCTTCAATAACTGCCTCCTTAGCCTCAGTATTGTGAGCCCTTAACTCTTAGAAATACTAATAACTTGTACAATGGACTTAACTACAAAGCTCCTTGCTAATATGTTTAGGGAACAACAAAACACTGGTAAATCACACAGACCACAAAGCCTTATTGTCTGAACACTCTCATCTCTGACTGGTCATTTCTATGTTACATAGAATTTCGAGAAAACAATGTTACAATATCTAACATTTTATTAATGCATGATGTTGGTCACAATAGAAACATCGGACTACAACAACATACTTGTAAAAAGAGCCCTGTGAGTCATGTTGAGTAAAGATAGGCCGGTCATGTCAGAGGCTGAAAAATACAGCACATACATGAGAAAACTAGTGATAGAAGTAAACTGCTACTGAAAATCTTGCTTTAATGTGTGAAAAACGGGATGGGAATCATAAAGAGAGCAGAAGGATAATAGAAAAACACAAAGACACAATGAGCCCCAATAGAACACTGTACTGATTGTCTTCTAAAACATGTTATACCAATATGTTGTGGTGCTTGAACAGTCTGGAACGTGTATTTGACGACACAAGTCCAGGCACTTTACTCCTTTTTTAAAATCTAATTATCATCTATAGTAGTCCTTGAAGAGCACAAATACTTTGTTTTTACACATTCAGTGGTATACTGAATAAAACATACAGCAATATTTATTTAGTTTTGCTTGATTGAAATGATATAATAGATGTTTTAGCTAATATCAACACAACAACTCTTAGTCAACACACTTATCTCGCATTGTAGCTTCAAAGCAACTGAGATATGGACGATATTACCCTCTTTTGAGTGTATACGTCATATCTTCACTGCTCGTGCCCTTTGACTGATGTCCTGAGTGACTGGACGACTTTTAAACTTACAAAACATACGACAAAGACCTTTATCAAGACAAGAAGGTATCAGAACCTGCTGCAGAAAATCCACAGTTCCTCAAGTTTATCAGCAAAGAGTCCAATTTGGAGCACACAGAGCAGTGAGTTTGCATGCGCCCTGCTTGTCCCTGGAAGGCTCTCGTAGGTGAAGCAGGGTCTGTGGGGCTTTGTTGTGGGCTGGGCAGGGCTCTTTGTGTACGCCACCTTCAAAGCAAACGGACATGCACAGGAACAGTCTTCTTGGGTGACGTCCATTGAGGAGCGTGACAATAGTGCAGCGATTATCCCAGTGTGCTCTGCTTCTGGCTCAGTTACACCCTGGTGTCTGTCTGGTACACGCATGATGTCTGAGTGCATCTGCATATTCAGCCTCTCCACCACTGTATATGCATCTATTCAGTTATCAAAGTCAAAAGTTTTCATTTTGCTTGGTCAAAAAAATTACTTTCTGGACATTGTATTCAACTACTGTTCTGGGTGATAACTAACAAGAGCTTGCGTCAATACTTAAAAAGGCAGCATTAATCAGTCTGCGTGTTCTCCTAAAGTAACATCAGCTTCATGCCTAATTTGAAGACAATTCAAGAGCCAATACCAATGAGAGAAAAGTTCAAGAGAGATGAGTTCTCCAGTGGGTGTAACTTTGTCAGGTCCTCATCAGGATAAGCAAACGCTGGAAACGTATAGAGTAAAAATCCGAGGCACTCTTGAATGAATTCAATATTTAATTAAATAGTCTTATAACATTATTATTAAATTGTCAAGAGTGCCTCTGATTTTTCCCCTCTCAGTACAATGAGGGATTTTAGGTTTTCAACATACCAAAACACATAAACTTGCTAAGAAGTACAGATGATGGGTGAGAAACCTTCCTTTGCATAAACAGTTTTGTTTGACTGATATTTTCTGGAGCTTTAAAGACCTGTACATCAGCTCATGAAACGTAAGAAATTACAGGGTTAATAATTGATAGTTAAACAATATTAACTGTATTACCCCCAGTTATTTGAAACCCAGCAAGGTGATCAAACTTAAAAGATGAACATGACTTCTTCAAAACACAAGCGGTTGTTAATTGGAACATCCTACTTCTTTGGAGAGAGAGCTCCATATGACACTGCAGAAGATACAGTCAAAGATCTCAAGGCTGTAATTTCAAAGTGAGAATTTCTTTCAGTGTGAAGGGTGTGTGCCTGGCTGTACATCCCAATAGGAAACACCTTAACTGCGAGGCTATTGAGTCCCTTTGACACCCAACGGCTTGGGCTGGCTCAGGTTTCAAGAGCATGCTTGCCTCTTCTCTCTCTCCATCTTATTTTATTGTTCACTCTCACCAGGGAGGTATTTGGTCAACTTCATGTGAACCAGAAGATGAGGATGAACTACATTTGATTAATAAAAACAGCCGCAGTAGTGCTGCTGCTTGTTGACTTGAACCAGGAAGTATGAAGACTAAAGTCCTGTGCTCAAGTATCTGGTCTGGCTTCCTTTTGGCAGTACGTTAAAGTAGTTTTGCTTGTCTATAAATCTCTCCAAACTTCATCTATGACATGTTAGCGCTGTGTGAACCATTCCAGACCACACAGGGACCGGACCACCTGCTGGCGCCCATGCATCATGCAAAAACATAACATTAGGAACATCTTTCTAAAAACTTGAGACAGGCCTCAAATCAAGTCAAGAACAGACTGATTTCAACTCCATGTTTAGATTTACAGGTTTTTTGATTTATAGACGTGAAACTGAAAGACACCGGCCGTTTCTTGGCTCTACATTTCTAGCGAGGGGCAGGGGTTAGCTTGCCATTAGAAAGAACATTGTGAACGTTGTAGAGTTATGAGCTGCGACAGGTCTGTATTTTTTCAGCTGAACTTGACTGTCTCCTCTCTCCCTTTTCTGCTCTCTTCCCTTCCCTTCTCCCCTCCCTCTCTCCCCTGCTCACTCCTCTCTTGAGCGACTCCTGCCAGAACATGAAAAGACGGCCTCGGAAGTGATCTGACCGCAGGGTGCGTTCAGCCTTGTTCACACCTAGAACATGAGAGCAGTCACAGAGGTGGGACAGGGGTTATGTCTAAACAAAAGTCTGCGACACATTCAAGCCGTGGTTTCTGTGGCCCACCTAAACCTCGTGTTACCAGGCTCACCTGAGTTCACAAAGGCATTAGAGTTTAAACAGCCCATCAATCACTCGCTGACAAACTATAATGAGTTAATTGTATTTCAATCCTATGCAATTTCCACTTATCAAGATTCTTCCATTTTTGAATATAGGCCAACTATTACTAATCAGCTGCTGTTTCTCCTCCACCAGTCTGTCCCTGGCAGCTGTGGCTACAAATCTGGAGGTAGATCACCAGGCCAGCCTGCTGTCAAAAGCCCTGATCAAATGCAGATGACAAATTTCCCTATGGAGAGCATAAAAAATACCTTACCTTCTCTTACCTTAACATAGTGCCAAATTGTCAAGAACTCTTTTGCAAATCTGGACATGTATCACCGTGATCAGCAGCATCTGAATAGTGACACATGTCATTTAACGTGTCCCATTGTTTCCACAAGTGGTCAGAAGGGTGGGATTATCCAACGGCATCTTAAGCTTCTACCTCCATCTGTGTAGTGCTCATGATTCCATAATTTGGTTCCAAAATTAAAGTAGATATGTGCAATCCGGACTAGATCCAAGACCAGGTGCAGTCATCTACTGGTCTCCCAGAAAACATAGATCCATACATGAAGTTCATTTGAGCACTTTCCTAGATTTCTGGGTTGTTTTTTTTTCATTGTCATCCACATCCATTATATTTTTCAATGTGAGCCACAAACATGGAACACATGTTGTTGGATTTGTCGCCTGAACAATCTATGCACTTGCTGTAATTTAGTCTGATTCACAGATGGATTTATTCTGAAAAATTACGTTTAGTTTTCAATGGCTTTTTAGCAGCAATCATCCTTCTCATAGTCTACAGACAAGTCCGGACAAATTAATCTTTAGTTTCCACTTTAATTCGCCTAACAAAGCACATATGATTCAATTATGAAGAACATTCCAGTTACAAAGGGGAAAATAGAGAAAGGCATCTTCTCCTACTTTCAGTTTTACACCAGGAAGAGCGAGAAGGCCAAGGTGTGGGGATCTGAGACTGAGACAGGTGAATTCGGCAAAAGCATGGGTATATTAAAGTCATTAAGTTTTAAGCATAAAAAAATGTACTCTTTTGAAATGTGAATTAGTATGACAAAAAAGCCAATAAACACTGAAATCTGAAAATAGTTAGTGGTGCAGATTTGTGGGTATAAAACCAAGGAATTGTTTTTGTTGGGACTGTATATGTTCAAACAGAATTGGGAGATGCAAATCAAGTAATACTACATTCCCATTTCCCAAACAACATGAAAGTGGCTCCTATGTGTGCTTTAAGTCCTGTACCTGTCCTGCTCTTCTCTTGGGTCCATTGTACACTGCCCCTCGGATCCCGTTTCAGCCGGCTGCCCTACTCAGATACACAGCATACAGTAGAGTCAGGGAGATTGGCCTTGGATTCGATTCCGCTCTTTTCTCTACGTTTGAAAGCCCCCCTCCTCTGTCCCGTCCTGTCCGCTTCCCTGGGGACCTCCACTCTTTCGCGGGCCGGCCAGGGTGGAGCGGCCTGGTACCGGGGCAATGGGAACACACAAGGGTATCACTTACAGCCACTGCAGCACTCAGCCCTCCTCCCGCCCTCCAGTCCTTCTCATACAGGGCTTAAGGTGGACTAGTGCCTCATTAGGTTGGTTAAGTCCACTCTTGTCACTTTGTCTCTGTTTACATGCACCAGAGAAAGACAAGAGAGGTACGCTGAACACCAGAAAGCGACAATGAAGATTCAAAGTGAGTAAAAAATTGAGTTTTTAAATGTAACTTCCTGGTTGTGAAATGGCGATATCATAACTTCCAAGACATGACGCACCTTTTACCGCTGCACCCAAACAGTTTTGCACCAAAGACATTCCATACCTGTAATCCACCAAACTTTTACCTTAACCCGAAATGTGTCAGCATACTTCTTAGATGCTCTCCGTGCAGCGTCATAACTTCTCCATCCTGGTGACAGCTGCATAAATGCAATTTTCCCACCCAATCGTTACATAACACTGGCTGTCCCAGTGGTCAGTAACCTTCTTCCTCAAACTTTCCCTCAATCGGATTCATGTCAAACTCATCTTGAATCACTTTTATGAAAGCTGGTCTTTGCTAAATGGTGCTTGGGGAGAGAGTATTCCAACCACTGATGTTTAATAATGCCAACCACTTAAACCAGAAAAAGTAGTGATATTTTAAGAGGACCAATCCCAGCCTCTGAGACAAGGCAAGGGGCTCCCCAAAGTTGTTACTGAGAAGTCAGACACAGACTTAATGCTAATCCTAAACCTAAATCTAACCTTAAGCCTAAACCTAACCCTAACCAACCAGTTGGGTGTTAACTCTGGATATGACTTATGTGCGGACTGGACTAGATCAGGTTAATTGTGGGTGTCTTTCAAATGAACCTTAACAAGGGATACTTTGCAGTTCGCTGGGAGTAACTCCTGTAAGGTCACCGTGGGTTATTCAGCAGTAAGGCTGAGGGCCAAGAATGAAGACACATGAAGCCAGGGGGACTGGCTGAATGACTGGATGAAGGACAATATGAGATACGAGCAGGTCCACAAGGCTAACCTACAATAATATTATTTCCGGTCCACGTTGTTTGAAATATAGGGTTGTCGGATGGCTGTGACAACGAGCCAATGCTGAAGGCGTAGGAATGAGGAGTGATGCCATCCTTCCCTGTAGTAAGAGCAGGTCATCATTGGAGAAGGGTAACATTTGTTTACAAAGCTCTTCAATTTACAACTTACTTCCTTGTTGCTCTGATCTGGAATATGCTGCAAGCTTGGCAGAAACATCTTCAGACACTTGCAGGCAGCAGAACCAACCAGAACACAGTGCTGGAACAAACAAAAACATACTTTAACATGTTTATTGTGCTGAGGGGAGTAGCTGAATATGAAACTGAAAGATATTGCTCATTTAATTTTTTAATTTTATTTTTTTATTTTATTTAATTATTATTATTATTGTTTTTTCCACTATTATTAAAGCAAAAATTCCAGTTGGTAGTTTTGCTTATCTGAAAGTGCTACACAAGTCACTATTCATTCACTTCATGCTCTTTGGTGCATGGTCCATGGCTTCCACTACCATCATTCAGTCATTCACCTATTCATACTCCTAAATGTTTGTGGTTTACTGTATTTAGTTGTTTGAGTTGCAGGTAGACTGAGACAAGACTAAAAAGTGATGGGCAAATACCATTTAAATGATATTCTTTAGCACACGTGTAAATACATTGCCTCCACAAGACAGGAAACCTAATGAGGGGGTGAATGGGGTGGCAAGAGAGGCTCCTGGCGAGATCAGTGATGCCTCAGTGACCACATCAATCAATCATGCCTTCTGCTTCTGCCTCTTTTGTGTTTTCATACCTCCACTTGACTATGTGCCTATGTCTCATCCTCTTTCCCACACATTATAGGAGCACATGCATAAGTCATTGAGGTATTAAGAACTCAGATATCATCTTTAATGGAGGTCAATCTGTCTTAAACCAATCGTGTCCCATATGATTTACATTTAGTAAAGAATATATAATTAACAAGACAAAAAAAATCCATTTACAATTGAATTGTTTCATTGAGAGTGAGATATGATATTGCGGCCAGGAGGCATTATTAGAGAGGGCCGATGTGCGTATTGGGAGGCAAAGACTACAATGACCAAAAGGCCTTTTCCATGCTGGTTTTGATGATCTGATATTCTTTTTAATTCGTCAACATCAACATTCATGTTCATTCCATACCAAGTGAAACGGGCCAACTATTTGATTAGCATACCCCATAACAGGTCTGCCCCTGTCTGCTGCGGTCTGCTGGTTTGGGCAACGAACTGAGGAGCTGGAGCAGAGGCCATGGTGTGTGTTGTGCAGGAATTCTTGAAAAAGGTATGATGGGGTCATATAGCTTTATTTTCCCTGGTACCTGGCGCACATATTGTAAACAATATATTTTAAATGTAACTTTATTTTATTGTTAAAAATGTGATGTGATGTATTTGATTCCTTTAATTTCATAGGTGCTTGATGGTTGTCGAAGGTGCATGTACAGAGCATTGTTATGGGATCCTGGTCTACACCAGAGTAAAGTTGGACAAAACAGTTCAGTGAAGCATGAGCAGTGGATGTAGGCAGTGAGCCTGAATGTGAGGACAACACAAGGTTGATACCCATGGAGAACAAACGCAATATAGACACAAATACAATATTCAAATGTGATCAACACCTCACCAAGGTAGTTCACATCAATTATCCAACTTTTTTTTTTAACTTGGAATTATGAAAGTTTCTATAAAAATATCTCAACAAAAGGTTGCTTGGAAGCAGGAAATGTCATCCCAAAATCGTCCCAACATTAGTATTCTAAAAATAAAACACACACCATGCCACGTGTCTTTTCAAAGTGTGCTTGCAGCTACAGGATACACCTGTAGCCTGCGTCTATATTAGCATACACTTGTTACCATAATGGGGTCAAATGCACTCAGGCTGTATAGAAGCAAAGGTACAATAGATCCCCAAAGAGCAGAGGTCTATTGTTGCTGCGCTGGCCTCATGGGGGTCATGTACTGTCTGTCCTGTACAGCGACACACGAATCTGGCTCAGAGGTGTTTCAATGCAATCTTAAACCTACCAGCCCCAGACCCTCACACAAAGCCATCTTACAAACTTGTGGGACATGACTTATGCTGCTGTCAGCGGGACACCCAAGCCAAACCCGTGCTGATCAATATCTTCAACAGGTACGCATGCAAAGGCTACAACAAAGAAAAGGTGAGACGTTAATAGAAGTTTGTGAAACAATATATGCCTCTCTTTATTACATGTATATACAAAATATACACATATATGTATGTGTTTTGTTTAAAACAATATTACAGATGGTTTGGTTCATGACAGCTCCGCTGAAGTACTATCTGTCTTCTGCTCACCCCACTTGACTTGAAAGTACTGTTTTATAATTAGTTAGGTACATTGTTTTAGAGGTGGCCATCTTGCCATATTTATCACTGTTTTTGATTCACTTCATCGACCAATTGTGTAGGTGTCAAACCACACTTTCACTGCCATAGCCTTCTGCATTCTCATATAATCACAAAATCTACACGCTCATATTTTATACACCAACATGATGCCAGCTGGTAAACCAAACTTGGTGGCACGTTTCACCCATTATTCCACTTCATCAAATCATTGAGAGAATCTGTGTGGCCGTAAGGCGAGCTGCATTTCCTCGTGCTGATTTTTGTTAGCGTTCTATCTGTCTGTCTCCCCTTCAGTCTGTGTGTCTGCCAACTGCAAAGGTCAGAGCCAAATGAGCCTGCTTTAAACAATAGCACAGTGACATCTCACTCCGCTATCACCGATTCATTTCAACGAGAGACGGCAGACATAGTAGTGGCTTTTTAGAGACTGCTCCAGTTTCTCCTCCCACTACAAACATGTACAAAATTCACTTTATGATTGTGAATAAAAAATAAAAATAAAAATGTACAAAAGGTCAAATTCTCCAGCTCCAGTCCTAATAAGCCAAGCATCAGCATCAGGCAAAAGTACAAGCTGCTTTTGTGACATCTTCGCTGTATAAGATCATGTTCAGATTAGATAATACACGATAAGAGAACCTTAACACATGCCACAGAGCAGACATTTCCATGTTGGAGCACACAATAGAGAACAGTGGGAATAAAAGTATCTCTCATGAACATTGTAAATATTAGGGAATTCAAGACATAGTGGTGATCGGCTGCATCCAACACATCTATCCTTGGCCTTTCTCTGCTGAGGGCAGCTAGATGTTTTTTGGCCGATGCAAATGTGACACAAATGTTAGGCTTCAAATGTTGTACTACACCGAAAAGTGGCAAGCAAAATTGGAATATTTTCAGTAATAAATTAAAAGGAGAATATCCAATGTACAATAACCATGAGTGCCTCGAGCATGATAAAAATCGCAGTTTGAGATTGGCATTCTCTAATCAGTATTCCCCAACCTTGTGGAGCCGTGGAAAACCTTTTTTATTGAAAACAATCACATATAATACCATCAGCTGAAACTGATACAAATGAAACTCTGCAGCCTTTATTCACAAAGCATAATCTCAAAGTGTTATACGGCACACTGCAGCTGAAAGTCATGGATTTAAGATCCCAGCTCCTGTGCACCTTCAACAGTGAATCCTTTGGAGTACAAAAAAATGGCTGGACTCTTTGTGAAACTGAGGTTCTTCCTCAAAATAGCTCATGTAAACTGAAAACGGACACCCATAGACACCATTGTTTGTCATTATCCTTGCGCACCTCTTCCCTGGTGTTCCTTCACCTGGGTGTTCATCTTTCCCTGCCCTCTCTTTTCCTCCCCTCCAGTTCTTCATCTGAAGCAAGGAACCTAATAGGAAATCAAAGTTTGTGCAGGAAGAATGGGGCCGAGCTTAGCGTTACCATCCCAGGGGTCCAGCAGGCTGAAAGAGGAGTGCAGAAAAGGCCTGGCACTGTGGAGGGTAGCTTAATGCAGCAGATACTCTTTCCCTATTCATCCTCCTACGACCACGCACACACACGTCTTTCACTCTGTCACTTCTGAATCGCGTTTTATCTCCCTCTGTCCCCTTTCCCTGCTTTCATCCCTTCTTCCACACACACTTTGCTGCTTTTCTTGTTTTGTGGCTTTATTTTCTTTCCTGCCAGTGAACTCAGGTGCCCCTAAACTTGCCCAGTTGGATCTAGTGCGCCCCCATCCTAAGGGAGATGGTGTGCATTGCCAGGGATAGAATTGTGCACCGGTCCTGCACGCACCCCTGCCCTTCAAAGCGCTGCCGATGTGTAGCAATTGACTCTGTGGCCCCCGGCTATGCTCAGGTAATGTGGGCCGGTCAAGCATGTTCCCACTGAGAGCAGCTTAAATGCACTCACTTAGCACACTTTCTCTGCTTCAACTGAATTCAAATTGAATTCTGTCATTATCAGATACCTATTTGAAAGAAGAAGAATTGAGTAGCGACAATCCTTTTATTGCCTTGAGTTTCCACACTTAAAGAATAACCATTTAGTATACATGTATAGCGAATTGTTTTCATGGTAAATGCAGTGGGGGCGGGTCCCGGCTCAAAAGGGGCCAAAATGACGTGCGCTGACTTGCAATACCACCCCGGGCCGATGGGGGTGGACCCGGAATAAGAATTAGCCAATGCTAACATATAGCATTAGCAGATCTCTCAAAAACGTCTTTACAGGATGGACCAAAAGTTTAAAGTTTAAATGAATGCGCAGATGCGTTTCTTCACATTTTCCAGCCCTCGCGGCCATTTTGAATCACTCCATGAAAGCCCAATTTTTGGCCCATTAGTTAGAACGGCGGAGATAGGCGTGACTACGTCCGTTAGTATATACAGTCTATGGGTAAACTAGAAAAGCAAGAACCAAGACTTCCGCCTAAAGGCCCTCTTTCATTCCTTGAGAAAAATTAAGACAACAGATAAAGGCTACTGATCACTAATTCGTCTGTGATACATGGAGCTCTTAAGATGTTGAAGACTGATGCAAACCACCTGCTGGGGTTTACAAAGTATGTGTATTGCATATGACAACGTATTTTTCTCCTCAATCCTACTATTCTGTTGCTTGTGATGCAACACTGAAATTTCCCCACTGTGGAACGGATAAAGAATCTCTTAATCTCTTAATCTTAATCTTTTTGTCCCTGAATAAGAAAGAAATCCATTTAATGTTTTTTTTTTTTTCTGCCTTATTTCATTTTAGGCAGACATGTTACTGGCAATCCAAAGGAGAGACTCTGATTGGATATTATGGACCATTGTATTTTTAATTAAGAATAATACACTTGTTTTCTAAATATTTTCTTAATCTTATTCTCCTATAATATGTGGACAGATATACAGTATGTGATTTAAATTTAAAGCACAACCATTTAAGACATGTTTGTACATACTACACACAGTATAATGAGTGAAAAGTGATAGTTAACACAACAGTATTAGAGCAGCTCAGCCTACGGTGTTAAGTAGCTTAAACCTGTGGAGCAGCGCTGAGTAAAACGCCTGCAGACGTGAGGGTGCACAGGGGAGTGCCGGAGAGCCTGGCAGGAGGTCGACAGCATCTCCGAGGGGAACACACTATCGTTAGTGTAAGCCACAGTGATGCAGGAGATGTGTGAATAATTTCAATTTCCTATAGATTCCTTCTCTGCTGACTGCATGGCTGTCCTGTCTCCTCCACACCATCTACCTGCCCCTCCACCCCCCGCATCCCTATGTCTTTCATACCCTTTTGAGTACAGCTTCCCTCCCCCTGCCACATCCCTATCTCGCTTCCCTCTCTCCTATCCCATCCCAAGCTCATCCCTGCTCAATCTCCCCTAACCCATCTCTGCTCCTCCATCAGAGTTCAGATTCTTCGAAGGTGTTGGGTGTCTTCAGTGTCACAACTAAACAAAACAATTTGAAAACAAAGTGGGCCGGTGAATGTGCCGCCGTAACCTAAGCCAGGTCCTTTTGTGAACCTCAGAAAGAGCTCCCTCTCAGAGTGAAGGAGACGGGGCGGGCACAGGGAGGCGCACATTTCAGTCTGCAGGTCGGACCCCCCTCGCCCACTTCCATTGCTGCTTTTATGGCTCCCATTGGCCCCACACACCCACACTTCAAGAGCACTCTTCAAAGCTGAACATGTGATCGGCACAAGCCTATTCCATGTACAGTGCCCTAAACCACCACATCCTGGAAAATTGAGTTAACGCTTTCTAAATTTGGTATGTTTCCATGGCAATGTTATTGCTTTGTCTCTTCCACACAGTACCTCAACATTGAATTTAGGTTGTTATTCCTAAATGTCTTTTTTCCTAAATAATGTATACATTGTTCTGTTCCTTCAGAAAGAGTCCTTGTAAAAATGAAAAGTTCAAATCTAACCACAACATGCTGTCTTTTTATCATGACAAAAACTTTTGGATACTTGTAACACAGAGCCCAGTGAGTCACTATCTGACGCTTTCAGCTGGGAGCTCATTGACTAAGCACTTAAATAGTTGATGGCTTACAATTTGCCCTCTACCATGTTGTTTTTTTTATTTCTGATATTTTAGTGCCAATCAAAGAAAACTTTACCCCTTCTTGAGCAAATCATTTCCAATTTTCTGCCATAAACAAAACACAGGGAAAGATTGGAGCGAGAAGAATCAAAATGGAGATTTGTTTATTCGAACAAACTCTTCTCTCGTCGGACTAAAAAAGGAGATCTAAAGATGTGACCGAGAGCAAAAAATTACACGTCTGTGGAAAAATAATAAAGGAACCAAACTGTTTTGAGCAAGGAACTACCGGATTTTATTACACACTTATTTTTTCTGTGGTTTGAAAGCCAAATGCTTTAACATAAGGAAGTTTTAGGGCTACTATAGAATCATTTTACCTGAAAAATAATTACATTGATGCCTACTGGTAATTCTGTTGAGACTTAACTTCTCTGAAAAAAAAGAAAGATTATGATTATATACTATTTTTTATCTTATTTGTATTGAGTTCTTTATTGCGGCCCAATCTCTGGTGTTCATGTAAAGCTTGTTTGTGTGGCGATGCTGACGGATAATGACTCAGGGTAAGCTGATATAGTGAAGATATGCGTCCTAAGTCTCCTATCGTTTGTACCCAAGCCCGATGATGGATGTTTGACTCACCCACACAAAAACATGGGAGGGTTATAGTAAAGGTCGAACTCAAGTGATTACTCAGGCAAAACAATGAAAATAGTGTGTGGGTGCGTAAGTATATACAGCATTTTTCACTTTGAGGACATCATGGTGACAGCCATCCATGTGTCTTATAGTCATGGGAAAATTAGTCTGAGCTGGTGTTTTACATGACTTTCATCTATCATCGGTTTTATTATCATGGCCATTAAACTTTCTTCTTCTCCTTGTGGCATTCATCTTATCTTATCTATTGAAGATAATGGACCCTTTTTTCAACACTATAAATGATTTTTTTTTTATAATCTGTGTTGTTTTTATGTTTTTATGTTATATTTTTGCACATTTTATAAACTAAATTGCAGCATACAGGTGGCAGCCATAGATGAGAATGTACTACTCAAATATCTGTATGTGTTTCAAAAGGTTCAAATAATAATAATATTAAAATCTGTTTCTGAGGAACAATTTAGGGCATCTGTAATAATTCATCTATATTGTATTTTGATTTTTAGTCCCCTCAAAAAGAGATTCTGGAAGTGGGACTATCCTATTTAAATAAAAAATCACATTAAAATATGCATACAGTGTGTGTGTATAAACTGTATGTTTTTGAGCGATTCTCATTACAACATTGATATATACCCATGTGAGACAAACAAATGTTGTCTTGTCGTGTGCCACCTCTGTCTGTGTCTGATTGCTGAGGATGGGAAAGTAAAGGCCTCCGTGTGTTTGCGTCTGACGGCTTGACGAACTGTCTGTCAATCACACTCACACTTAATTATGTGGTCGCCCGCTGAGAGTGAGCATGTGTCCTGCCCTTTGACTCTGGACTGGGCCCCGGGTCACACCCTTCTCTCCCCTCCCCTCCCCCCTCTCCTGCCTCTCTCTCCTCCATCTCCGCTCTCTCATCTCTCTCTTATCTCTTTGCTCTCCTCTCTCTCCCCTCCCTCTCCTTTCTCCCTCTCCTTTCTCCCTCTCCTCTCCTCTCCCTTCTCCCCTCTCCCCTCTCCCCTCTCCCCTCTCCTGCCTCTCTCTCCTCCATCTCCGCTCTCTCGTCGCTCTCTAATCTCTTCGCTCTCCTCTCTCTCCTCCATCTCCGCTCTCTCGTCTCTCTCTAATCTCTTCGCTCTCCTCTCTCTCCTCCATCTCCGCTCTCTCGTCTCTCTCTAATCTCTTCGCTCTCCTCTCTCTCCCCTCCCTCTCCTTTCTCCCTCTCCTCTCCTCCCCTCTCCTCCCTCTCCTCGCCTTCTTTTCCTGCTCCTCCCTCTCTCTCTCCTCGCTCCTCTCTTCCTCAGCAGTCCTGGAGCATCCAGACTGCCCCACGTGCCTCCTGACTCTGACCAATGCTGACCACTGCTGACCACTGCTGAGGACGGTGTCACCAACCACCTTTAGCGACTCTGCAACATTCTCAACAAAAGGCTTTTACACATTTTTCTAACAATAATTATTTTGACGAGTAGGTTCTAATATGGAGCTGGGCCCATGCTTACTGTCTGTTTTCCAAAACAATAGTATTCAGTCAATCTCCATGTGTTTTCCTGGAGAGTAAATATCTACAAATTATGTTATGGGCTGACATGAGCGCCAAAGAGTTGGGGAAAGAGAAAATAACTACACATAAAACATGAATAGATGATAGTTTAGGGAGGTTACATTTTTTGTGAACCTTCTTTACCTCAGAACTTTTTATTATTATAAATAATGCCTTTTGCCTGGCCCACAAAAAAGTTTTGTAAAAGTATCAAACCCGCCGCTTCTGCCGCACCTCAATAACACATCTGCACACCGGACAAACCTGCGCAACGTAACGCACAAGCATATTTTTACTTTTCATTTAAACTCAACGCAACGCATGGTGCGGTGTGAACGCCCCTTTAGAGTTGAGACATGTCAAGACAATAACTTTGAGATCTTACTGTTTCCTGGAATAAAAGAAAACATTTTGTCTTTAGTGAAAGGTTCAGTTGATTAACCTTGTTAGTGTAACAACAAACCAAAGAAGCTGTACTTGTAGAAAACTTCTAAAAAGTGATATGGTGCACCTTTAACCATTAGGAGGCACCGTCCCACCCTCATGGAGAGAGGAGTGCAGTGGTGCAGGTCCTGGAGCAGTGCCCTGGGGACTTGGCCTCAACACAAAGCGTGGCCCCTGGAGTCTTGAGTGAGACCGAGGGACGCCTGAGGCCCAGTGTTAAAGCAGTTTGTGTATTTGTCTTTTGTCAGCTCTGTGTGTCGCTCTGTCCCATAAGACTGATGGATCAGAGCCAGGAAGTCGTCTGAGCGAGAGCCCATCACTGTCGAAGGGCTGTTCTGTAACACACTCTAAATATGTACAAGGGATCTGTTTCCTGCTAGCTTGAAATACTGTTAACATTACTGCTTTCATGCACATTACGGACTGGGCTGACCGATGCACATGGCTCCACAGAACTGGCCATTACTTTAAACATATCTATAGATAAAAACATGCAACAGCAAATACAGTATGTCCACAATATAAGTCACAGTTCCATCCATCTCAAGGTCGTTATCCAACCCACAAACATGAAAAATATTGACTACTTACTTCTGTAATTCAATTTACAAGGTGAAACTAATATATGATGTATACTCATTACACACAAAATGAGATATACCAAGCCTCTATTTGTTATAATGTTGATAATTGGCTCACAACTAAGTTAAAACATCTCGGATAAATTATGACATTGTTTTGAAAATGTACTGTACGCCATGATCATCCAAATGTTAACAAACACTGCATGTAACAAGTCGCTATCATATATACTGTATGTTTCACATTTTCATATGAATTACAAAAAATGAATGAACTTTTGAACAACACTCAAATCTTCCGAGCTGTGTTCAAAGTAAATATAGAACAACCAAGAACCTGTTAAGTAAACTATTATATCCTGATGGCAATAATAGTTCACATTATTGAATACCAGTGAGAATCAACCCACCTTGCCCTCCATGTGGCTTCATGATGTAATATAATGGACTTGATGGTTGAAAAACACTATGAATGATATATCACCCACAAGCACATTTGACAACACCTTTAAAGATTGTGGTCCTTTCCCCGTGGATAGTCCTGGATATGATCAGTATTCTGAGTTTCGCTCCGTCCCTCACTAATCCAATTCCCTTCCTCCACACTCTCTCCAGCTCAGCTCCAGTAGTCCACTCTGGCCCCTAATCAAAACATTATTGCCACAATCGCATTGACAGCAGCGAGACTAATCTTCACTGATGCAATTGGAGCCACGCTAATTTAATCACTCTCCTCTCGACTTTCTCTTTGCCGGTATTTTTCATCTCCAAAAACAAGGTGACAGTCTTTTAATTCTCATTGCTGGGTAACTCTGGATCAATCTGGCTCAGTGTGTTTTGGCGCAGTTACAGAGGCAGACACATGTAGGCGTGGATTATTGCACTAAATTTGTCTCCCTGTGGGGCAGTGACAAGAGGGGAGTCTTATTAGATTCAAGATTTTATTTTTTCTCAGACTATTTATTCACACCACTTCTATTGAATCATGTCGAGAGATGTAGTTTTATAGCATGTATTGCCACTGTTATTTGTTGTGGTCATCTGGACTGGTGTAAATGATTTTTTTTCCAAAGACTGGTTTGATAGATAAGTTTAGGTTTACAACAAAGAATCAATTTGGATTCTTTTTTTCCCCCCCCCATAAAACAGTATACACATAAGTACACATACTGTACATAGGTTCAAATGTGGCCTATATTTTTACATGGCTCTATAAAATATACATAATTATACATTTCTAAGACTCTGGCCTCCCACCAACTCCCACCCCTCACCACCCGTTTGGAATGGGTGCTATAGCCATGAGCCTTTTCTTCCACCGTCTTCCCATGTCCAGAGTTCTCTGATTTCCACCTGACAAATTATCTTATCAGTCCACCAGCGATCGGACGAGTGAAAACATGACCCCTACAGACTGGGGCCTGACTCAGAGCTATAGCTACATTGATGCCACCCGATAACGGCCAGGGCAGAGGATAGTGCTCGGACACACAACGGTGATCTCGGCTGATAAAGTCTTGGGCTGTAGAAGGAGGGCAGTGGAGTGGCAAACAAGCACCATTAGATGTATTCTATTCATACACTGGGAGCTAGCCAGTTAAGTGGATAACAAGACCCATTAGGAGGATTCAAAGGTTCAAAGTATAAGGCTGGACAGGCTGGATGACTGATAGCAGAGGAGTGCATGTGGTCAACAAAGAGAGAGGAGTTAACCTGATCCAAGACTTAACGTTGCACCAACTAACTTGAAGATTCCGCCACTTGTTGTTTTTTAGCTACAGATTTTAACTCTGTTTTTTTTTCATATACCGTAGATGTGAACAATTTGCTTGAAATATTCCAGTCTGACAGTTGAGGGAAAAGTATATACAGTAAATATCGTAAAGAAGGGTTTTCTAATGGCAGCCTTAGAATGTACAGAATGAATAATGGTCTGATAAAGTGACCTAGTGCACGGTCAGTGGGTGCATTGTGATAGCTCATTGCAAATTCTTTCAATCACAGTGCACATTAAGAACCATCCAGCAGATGAATGACATGATCAACAGTGTTTGTTGTTCATTGTACAGTTTGACCACAGCAGGTCAGGTGCATGTGTTGGGAGATGGGCGAAACCAAAGTTCCAGAAGGAAACCCATTCCAACACAAGGACAGTACGTGTTTGAATGCATATGTAAATGGTAAAAAAACCCTGTACCATACAAAACGTTCAAATGAGAATTGGCCACTACCCCTTTGAGTCACATTAGGGGACAGGCCTTCAACAATAATGCTGAACAAGTGATAGCTGTATGCAGTGAGAGCATGTAAGGTGATGGGAATAAAGAGTGGGCTGGGGGAGGGGAGAAGGTTTGAAAAAGTGAAAGATGAAGAAAGGGGGTTAAGGTTGAGAGGAGAGGGACAAAAAAGATGTAAAGAACGGAAGACATCAGCAAGATCGAGCCGTGATGGAGTTATTGCAGCTGAACATATCAAGCTATAGCCTCAGAGTTGGAGTTTAAATCCCGACTCACATCTGACGCCGCTGTCTTATCCATCAAAACTTACCAGGATTGTTAAGAAGGAGAGCGAAACAAGAGAAGGGGTGAGGTGGGCAGAGGTTGGGGACACTCGGAGACCCCAGCTCACGCCCCACTGCTCCTCGACGAGACCAGCAGAAGAATAGCTGGCCGCTCCAGACACTGGGGGCTTTGTGGGCACTTATTATGGGGCCACTGCCCTGGCATGACACGCACAGTGGACACACAAGATAGATGCAAATTTATCTTAAGATACAGAAGAGAGAGAGAAAAGTTGATACGTTACGTTAATTGACATTTCCCCGCTGTGGGGCAAAAAAAAGGTTCTCTTATCTAATCTTAAAGGAATAGTTCACCGTTTTTACATACTGACATATGTTCTTACCTTACCTTAGACTAGTTAATACGTACCTGTCTGGTCTTAGTCCGTGCGCTCTGTCATGCAAACGGAGCAAAAACGGGAGCACAAATGCAGCCTCCTCTGTATACTGTGTAGGACCAAAAGGTAGCTCCCGCTAGAAGCTACCAAACTCTTCCAAGTGTTCCCTATTAAATGTATATAGTTACGTGACGTGTTACACTGCAAAGTATAGTAACACAGAAATGTAACAGTCGATTTTCTCAGCGGATAAAACGGGTACTATATTGTGAGGCGTAGTAATCTGAGGAGCGCTACGTCCGCGCACTAACTTCTCTCCGGAGACTTCTCTCTCGCTCACTTCCGTCAATAGAAGCAGCGTGACTTGTAGTACGGAGAGAAGTTAGTGCGCGGACGTAGCGCTCCTCAGATTACTACGCCTCACAATATAGTACCCGTTTTATCCGCTGAGAAAATCGACTGTTACATTTCTGTGTTACTATACTTTGCAGTGTAACACGTCACGTAACTATATACATTTAATAGGGAACACTTGGAAGAGTTTGGTAGCTTCTAGCGGGAGCTACCTTTTGGTCCTACACAGTATACAGAGGAGGCTGCGTTTGTGCTCCCGTTTGTGCTCCCGTTTTTGCTCCGTTTGCATGACAGAGCGCACGGACTAAGACCAGACAGGTACATATTAACTAGTCTAAGGTAAGGTAAGAACATATGTCAGTATGTAAAAACGGTGAACTATTCCTTTAAAGCTGTCTTCTAACTCCTGTAGCTCTTAAAATAGTTTAGGTGTATGTTGAGGAGCAGACATGATAAAACATGAATGTAAACATGCCAGATTATATGAAAGACACACAAGGCAATAAACAATTACACTAGATGAAATACACATTAACAATAGAAGTTCACATTCTTATACAGGCCACGGTCTGCACATACAATAATTTTGCTCATTTTCCTCAAACATAATCATATCAATGAAGCGGCCCGGGAGCCGGATCTGGCCCGGCAAGAAATTTGAAACAGCCCGCGGCTCCTTATGTCAAATAATAATAATTTTTAAAACATTTAAAATCCACTCCGCAACACGCTGCACCGTCCGTCTCAGCAGCTCAGCAGAATGTCGAGTGCCTCTGTAGTGACTCCCTTCAGAGCGTGCACCAACCGAAAACCTGGCTCTATTCTGTGACTGACAGTGACACCCTCAACAAAATGTCTTGAAAAGTGGACATCAAGTGTTTTTTTTCAAGAAAAGTGGACTCAGTCTTGTTTGTTCATGGAGGGGTATGAAACACAAGTGGGCTTGGTGTGCATGCAACAAGTGACGGTGCTGAATGAATATAATCTTAAATGCCATTACAACCCTTGGCAATTTGAGCTGAGAATTGAGAAGATAGAGAGAAACAGCAGTCAGTTTCTTTAGTGGCCGAGAGGTTAGTGAGGTTAGTGATGCCTCTGTAAAGGCAAGCTACCTGATTGCTAGCAACTTAACGTTATCATTGAAGCCATACAGTGAGGGAGTTTGTCAAAACTAGCTTGTTTAAGTCTGCAGACATTATTTGTCCAGGAATTGTGTTGCAGAAAGGATATTAGAACCAGCAACAGATTTGGACAGTCAATTTAAACGCAAGTTGAAGTTGTGTGTGGCATTTTCTGTTGCCACTGATGGGAGTCTTTGAGAGACAGATGTCGCATATTCATTTGTGGGGTTAATGAAACGCCACAAATGAAAAAATTAGAGTATGATTAAATATTGTAAACTGCCATTTACAAAGTAATATTGTAGTTCTTGCATTATTTGCTCTATGAAAAACTCACTGTTACATTTAAGTTGGTCAACAGATTTACAGTTAAAACTGAGTGAGTATTGAAGAACAGTTTAAATGAAGTTTTAGATATACAGTGTTCATGTGCACAAAAATGTGTTTGGCCCCCGGACCAAATGAGTTTGACACCCCGGTCCACGTTTTTGCACAAGGCTTTGAACAAATTACTTCCTGAATATAAAAAACTCATGAACTATTGCAACAGTTTTCTTTGAAACAGGTTTTTGACGAGCTATGAGTGTCGTTTTCTGAACTGATATCATAATTATACACAATTAAAAATATATGTTGCTAACTGTAAGTGTGATAACAGGATAACCAATAATTCTGGGTTCTTATAGTTCTCTCAAGAAGATCCTTCAGTCGAAGCAGACACCCATACAGAGTTAAGACTTTTTCCGAAATCCCTACGGCCTCAAAGAATCCTGGACCCTGAAGCTCAGCTCAATTCCATGTTATCACTCTCATTATCAATTAAACAACGATTACAGTACTGATGCCTTTCCGCTAAACCAGGCAAGGACTGGAAGTACACAAACTATTCCCTGATGTTTTAAAAAATACATCAGGTAGAATCTCTTAAAAAGGCATCAGAACTCTGTCCCTGAGTCAGGAAGTGGCAAACACACACACTCAAGTTTAAACGTCTTCTTACTGACAAAACTTTGCTCTGAGTAAAGGACAAACTTGCATTGGCTTCTCACAAAATTCAGCAGGAGTTTGTATCTGTAGAGTGACTTATTTTCTCTCCGCACTCAAACAGTGGGTCAGTTCAGGCTCCAGCTCCCACTGGGCGCCTGCAGAGAGGGTCATGTCAGACATCAGCCCCCGCCGCGTCTCCCACTCCTCACCACAGAGAGAGATGTAAGCACCGGACTCCCACCCGAGAGAGGCCATACACATACTGTTCACAATCTCCCAGGTCTTCAGCAGTTTCCAGAACCAAACACTCAAATTGATGTCAGATCTAAACAGTCAAGTGCCTTACTTACAGAGGATATAACAAAAAATCCAACCAATATCTTTATGAATTGTATTATTTTGTCGAAGGCAGCGCTATGGAGCCAATAAGATCTGTCAATCATGAGGTCAGAATGAGTGATGTCTCCACCACATCACATCAAATGGACTTTGTCAGATATCCATTGGTGTGTATTGCTCTGCGTCAGCAAACTCCACCTTTAAACCATCAAGACTAAACTTTCACACGGAAAGTCGCAGGGAGAATCATCTTTGCGCTAAATATGAATAGAAATCCCATCATCAATCTCTTAAAATACTAAACGAACGAACGAACCTAAGGTTGTAAGGAGATTGAGTTGGCGATACAACACACATAATTTTGTCCTGCATGAACTGTGTATAGATTCAAAAATGTATTTATTTAATTTTACTTGAAATGAAAGTAAGTAATGTTCAATGCAGCCTCTTACTTGTCCTGCACTCACAGTAGCATCTCGTTAGAGCTTCTTTGTTATTAGTTTTATCCAAAGTAATTTAATTCATGCTTCTTTGTTATTAGTTTTATCCAAAGTAATTTAATTCAATTGTAATAATTTGCTTATAGTTTAGTATTGGTATATTGTGACGCATGTATGGTGATGCAAAACATATTGGTAGATACAGCTCGATGCATCTGCGTCGGGAACGAGACGCTTCCGTCATCACCGTGTGTGGAGTGAATGGAACAATATCTTAACTCTGAACATTGTAAAGCGCTTTGGGTGACCTTGGTCTGTAAAAATGCGCTATATATAAATAAAGAGTACTTACTTACTTACTTACAGCACACCCCTTATATTATTAAAGGTTTACTCTTTCAACATGGCAGACTGCATGATGTAACGTTGATCTTCATTCTCTTAAGAGAATTAAGATTCATGTCTCACAATGTCATGTCTCATTTGTTCAATTAAAATCATTTTATTGTAGACGCTCAAACTACAATGATGTGTTGTCTTCAGCTGCAGACATGGCACTCAACTTTAGAACCACAACTCTGGCTATTATTAATGACAATGTGGCCATCATGGTCATTGTTTGATCACCAGGAATGAAAAATCAAAGCAAACGCTAACAGAAAAGTGTCACATTTCATGTGAACAATGTGTCAGTGGAAACAAATACATCATATTTTACATAGTTCCAAGTCCATGTGACCATGACATGAACACCAAATATGAAATGCTTTTCTTCTCTTTTGTCTGATTTAGTGTTGGGTCAGGACGCCTCATTACCACAGTGTAATAATTAACACTTGGAGTGACAGAGAGGGACTGAGGCCCCCAGGAGGCCCTCTCTGTCCTGTGTGTCTGCTCTGCATGCCTGTACATTGTTCCTCCATCTCCTATTGTATTAACCCAATGATGCCAGTGATGTGCGTGTCATTTTGACATTTAATCATCTCCACATTGATTAATTAACTTCAAGTATTAACAAATATTTTTACTTTGTCAAAAGGTTGTGTCTTTTCAAAACGTTATCTTCTAGGACATTGAACTTTGTGATCAACTAAATTGTCTGTGCTGTACAAAAATTATTTCTTCTTCTTAGAAAATCCCTGGAATTCAAAACACTAATCCAAATGAGGCGAGCCATCTCTCCATGAATGCAAGGGGCTCGCCAGGGCCACTTCGGTTGGTTTGGCTTAAGACAGTGGAGACATTATTCAACTGATCCAAACTTCTATCTAACGTGTTGAGAGGCCCTGGGATCGGGCAGATCTCAGTTCTCCATCACATGAAAAGACAGTCCAATCACAGATCATGGAACTGAGAACATGGGACTTTACGCAAATAGCCAAGATGGCGACCACTGCAAGAAGTGGTTGAGTGCTGTTAATGCAGTTTATTCTGAGTAAATGATCTCTTACTGTGCAGTTTGGTTTTGACACTGCTTTTCTGCCACCACCTTGGGTTTTCTCTTATTAGTTTTGATTTGGGGTCGAATAAGACACAGCGTTCATAAAATCAGCTGCTTTAAGGTAGATATCAGACCTGCATATTATTTATTTTTACCATTGTGTGGTTCTGAACTGCTCTGTATCTGGAAACAAGAGTTAGGGTTACACTAGGTATTTGTCGTATGTTGTATTTATGAAGATTAAAATGAATAAAATTTCATATACTTCAAAATGTGAAATCAAACATTTATGATAGGGTCATTTCTCTTGTCTGGCACTGTTTTCATGGTCATTCATAATCACCTAAAAAGGGGCTTATTTTTTTCAAAGTTGGTGAGTTTTATGAAAGCAAAGGAGAAAAGGATGGAAAAGGGGAAGCTCCAGTGGAAAGTTGTCATTGGCTTGTGAAAGCAGTGACAGCAGACAGCAGCGCCACGGTGAGATGAGCTGTGGACGGCCCCCTGCGGTGCCTCTCTGTGGGGCGCTGGCTCCTGGGGACAACGTCACATCCCAAATGTGTTTGGGAATCATCAGAGTGTATCTCTGCAAGCTTTTTTTTTATACTTGTAAAATTAAAAAAGCTCCTGCACTCACTCAGACTTATTGCAACGTTTTGGTGCCACTGACCTTCAACAGCCTGAGGATTTTTATGTTTCCACATCTTATGTACGCCCATTTAGGTGTGCAGATCTTATTACCTACTGAACAATATTAATAATTTTACTGACATTAATCCTATATTGCTGGGAGAGGTATTTTACCAAAGTATTCTGGTGTATTATGTCCTACCAAAGTCAGGAGGTTAATGACGGCCATCACAAAGTTTTCAGTCCCATTGAAAATGTACTGTGGCCTAATCTCAAAAGGCTTCTATGGAAGAAAGGTGACCTACAAACGGGGTCCTGTACTGGCAGGAGGAATGGGCCAGAATTCTTGCCAACTATTGTGAGAAGCTTGCTTAATCATCTTCTGATTTAAAAAAAAAAAACTCCAACAAAAAATTCAGGAAAAAAAAGTGTTCTTGATATTGTGTTATAGGCTGGAAGCACATGGTTTGTGTTTCAGGCAGGATAACAGAATTTTAAACTGAAACGACAGTGAAGTGCCTTTGCATGTAGATAATATAGATGATTAACAACATATAAGTGATCCTTTTTTGGTAGTTTATATAAAAATATTTCTTTATTAGAATAATTTTACATAGATGTAGATGCGCTAAATGCCTCATGGGCCAATAGAAAGGGAGGAGGGGCTGACATCCCAGACATGTTTCCACAGCAACAAGGTGCTCCTGCCGCCGGCGGGTCTCAGCCAAGTGGGTCCCATGGTAACTGTGAGGGGACAGACTGTGGGACTCTGTGCAACGGGACAACTTTACTTATGTGGTTTAAATTACACCCACTTCAATGTGATGTTTAATGTCATTTATGGGTGGTTTGGCATTCAGATAAAGTCAGTTGAACACCAATGCTGTAAATAAATTCTACTTATTCTGAGATATTGTGTTTTTCATACATTTTCTTAAACTTTCCAAATGGATTCTAACTAAGTTTGGGATTGTTTTATTTTGGACAACTCCAAGAACATCTCATGATGTTGGTGTATCTGTTAAACCTATTCTAGGTGTGAATTGTGTTGAAGAATAAATTCAGAACGTAAATGAGCAAAATTGTTAGATAAATGACAAGCAATTGTTGTGTGAGTATAAAAACAATGTGTATGACTATGATTAGATGTTTCTCAATTAGCAGAAAAGCAAGAAGCAGAATGTATTTTCACATAGAAACAGTAAAATCTAAAACAGTGCAAGGAAAAATCACCACTTAAGCAGAAGAACCAAGTCTAGTGTATAAAGCTGTATGTAGTGCTCGTATATGCTATTGACATAGATGTCTGACATTTACCACTTGAATGAAACAATATTTTTGCTCATATGTTTTCAGTAGCCTGTTAAGCATTAAATTTACGTCTACAGACTCAGGCAAAACTGTGCTGAGGAGAAACAGGAGCCACAGTAGAAGCGTCCCGCAGCGTGAGGTTGCAACCCCTATCAGACTGTGTGTCAGTCTCACTATTGTGTCCTTGGAGGCACACTCACACTCACACACACACACACACACACACACATGCACAGCCGCACATATATACACACGCTAAATGTGTGGGGCTGTAACTTACACCGCCATTTCACAGCAAAAGTCAGCTAGTTTTTAACTCTGAAGTCAATATGTTCTTAATGCCTGCGTGAGGTGAAATAATTTATATATATATATATATATATATATATATTATATTATTATTAATATCTGGGTTTTTATTTTTCAAAAAGGATATAAAACAAAGGCAAAAACTTTGGCACTTTGGTGTGACAATGGGGGAGCACAATCGGTTAGCCTTAAAGAAATTCTAGCTAACCAAGAGGAAGGAATAGGTTCTTCTCAATCCCCCTGTCACCTTTGGAGGCTGAGGCTAAAGTTTGGCTGAAGTCACATTGGGGGAAAGACTGCATGAGTGGGTGAGATCAGTCCTGTCTTAGGATTTTGCGGGACTGTTTGACTTGGCTCTTTAACATGGCAACATGGGACAGTGCGTTTGGATTCTCTTGAAGAAGGGGAGGCCAGGGGTGTGTTCTATTGTGTTCTATTTCGGACTACCATCATTTAAAGTTTTAGTGGATCTGCTTTGTGGATCCGGAGAAGGCATGGGTTCCTGAAGTGGGCTTTATGCCGGTTCTCATGGGGTTTGCATTTGTGACAAGTTTGTGACAAGAGTTTTTTTAAGTGGATGTTGGCCTAACCCTACCAGGAATCGTCTTTCTGTAAAGGCCAAACCATATGTTGATTTAAAAAGTATATTCACCATGTGCAAGACATTTATGGTCGCCTGTGTTTGTGTCTGGCCAAATTTCAATCAAAAATATAACAAAACCCCCCAATCAGCCTCTGCTGTCTGGTAGGGTGCTGCTTTGCTCTGGTAGAAGATATACATTGGTAAGTGTAAACAAAGAAAGACACATTTTTACACTTGAAGCATAACTAAATAACCTATTACATTGTGTAGGTAAAAAAGAACAAAAAATATACAAAAATACATTTTCCACAAAAAAAGCTTTGAGTATAGATAGTCCTGAAAGCTGCAATTATTGACAAAGGAACCCAAGAAGCCACGACCCATAATAGGAACAGAAGTTGCTGTTCATTCATTCTGTTGAGAATGTATGAGGGCTGAATAATTGCACATCAATCCAACACTTTTAACACAACCTTGATATTCTCCATAATGATGTTTTGAGAGTATGAAAAACAAAAGTTAAAAGTCATTCCTCTGCCACATAACTACTTTGGCCTGAACCAGAAGGGCTGGACTTGTACAATCAAGCCATGACTAAACTATGAAACTGGTGGCCTGGTTATCCATGAATCCAGTACACAACTAAGCATAAAGTAGACATTCAAACAAGAGCAAATGTAGAACTGTTTTTTTATAGACCATATAGAGTGGTGAGAAGGACCAGTTTACTTGGCTGCATAATAAATAGCGCTGCTTTATTCACTCAACAAATCGAGCAAGCTTCAAAACACGCAAAACTGGGCCATACAGGCCTTCAGCAAACACCTGCTATATATGCAGACCAACCAAATGTCACCATGATGGTTCGATTTACCTGATTTTTCCTTATATTATGATTGGTTTTCAGTTGTACAACATAGAATGAATTGAAGAGTTTGAAATTAGCTGATTTGTAGAGATGAGCCCTAAAGTGAAGAAGGCAACACAGCCTAAAAGACAGTATTTGCTGCTATCTTGTGGTCAGTTTGGAATACAATTTAGGCGTTAGTGTTTGAGTGTTCCCAGAGATATAATAGATCCATGGATGAGAGCGTGTCCCGGGTCTTCCCCAGATCCATGGTCTTTCCTTCGGCCTCCTACTGGTGGAACATACCAGAAAACACCTTTTAATGATGATGCCGTAGACAGTGCATCGGACTCATGGATCTATAACAATAACGATCTGATTTGACTACAGCTTGGAGGAGGCTATAAGCGAGGTTAGTTTACGAAAGAAAATAATTTTAATTTTATATAATCTAGGTTGGATATGTTTTTGCTCGATCCAAAGTGCATACGAAGAAAGTTTTATACATTTTGTGCAGCCAATTTTATTTTCTTGAAGCGGAAGTGACGTAAATGTCAGAGACCATGTGACTTCCGGTATGATCTGTCCAGGGCCCAGTGATCGCGGGAAACAGAGCAGGTTCTCGGGGCGTTTTGGGGAAATAGCGTATTCTACAATATCGCTTGAAAACCAACACCCAACACCCCGAAATGAGTATTACCCCGCTGCAATGTGTTACCATTTGATTCGGCCTTCTTTCCCCAAGACTGCCAGTGAGGCCTACACGGTTTGTTAGCTCACCTCTGACTGGGAGTTGAAGCCTGGTGCTAGCCGGCAGAAAAGAGAAGGACAATAAGCAAGGGATTCCTTCTGTCAAAATGAGCCTGTTCAATTTAGACCGTTTTCGTTTTGAGAAAAATACCCCGAAGAAAGATGGTGCGAGTAAAGAAGATCCCAAAAGCCCAGACTCAGAGAAGGAAAACAAGCCAGGTAAAACAAACGCTTATGTGGAGCCACGTTTCTATGCTAACAGAGGTCCTTTTGAGAAATACATGTAGCTTATGCAGATATATACTGTATACATCTGTGCAGCACAATTGCCTTGTGTATGAATTGTGCTATACAAATAAACTTGCCTTGCCTACATCGATTGTGATATCAGAAATACCCGTTCTATGCATGGATCTATTATAACAACGGTTCTATGCCTCAGTTTATACAAGAACTATACGTCAATTCGTAATGGCTGGTGTACAGTCTACAAATTAAAGCATTTCTTTGGGGTGAAAGAAGCCCCAGATGTGTTATAGGTATATGACCTTTTTGAAGATGGAATCTCCTAGAGTAGTTTACTTACGGGTAGTTGAATAATCATTATATAATTGCTCTATATGCACTCAAATGTGGAAAAGGTGGTTTCTACTTAGCTTTGCCCAAACACACAGATGTCTCCCCCCATCATATTATTTAACGTCTTCCATAATTTTCAGCGAAAACGAAGCCTGTCAAAACCTCTTCCAAGCCCAGCCCAGCAGGAGTCGTATATCTAGATTCAGAGAGTGAAAATGAAGAGATTGTTTATGCGTCAGAAGTGGCCTCGTCAAATTCCAAAAAATCAACCACAAAATCCAAGTAAGTAATCTTCAAACTTATCTTGAGATTCTTACATTTCAGTTGATTTCACATACATTTTCTATTGTATTTAAAGGGACTCTTCAAAACAAACTACAATGGATTCAAAGGAGCCCCTTCCCCCTAAGGAAGAGGAGAAAATCAACAAATTGTTGGCAATGTTTCCTCAGTTGAATAGAAATCAAGTTAAAGAGGTAAAGAATTATTTTATTTACAAAAAGGAATCTAGGAGAAAAGGCTGTAGAAGGATGTAGAATGTTTCATGGGACAGTCCAAGAAGGCATCCATATTTATTAAGATTAGGATTAAAAGATCCTTTATTCGTCCCACAATGGGGAAATTTCAGTGTTGCATCACCAGTTAAAGAACAGTAGGAAAGAGGAGCACAAAGCACAAGATAAATGAACAGCAACATGAATAGCTATATTAATTAAAATAACTCTAGCATCATCAATAACAAATATAAAATCTCTATCTTGAAAATAATAATAATAAAAAGTGTAAAAATTTTACATTTGGCAAAATAAGAGGCAAGTATAAAGTACTGTGTATTCTAGTCCAAGCAATATCTAGTTATATTTTAGCATCTGTACATTAGCAGCAGTGTGTTTACATCTGTACATGTTAGCAGCATGACATTACATTTGACATTTCAACAAAGACATTTCCAACATGATCAGTTTCACACTGTAGGATTCAAGCTGGTTTGATACTCTATACTGAAGGTAAATAAACATGCCTCGCTGAAAAATTAAAAAACTTGAGGTATAAAACGTTATTTAAAATAAAAAGGCATCAAAATTGCAAACTACATAAAACCTTAGTTTTTTACAGAGCGAGTGGTCAACATTTATTTAATCAAATGTTTGACTTAATTTTGATTAATATTAGGTTGAGTTTTATAATTGTCTTTATTCTGATTTATAACCAGGTGATTAAGAGCACAACTACACTGGACGGAGCTGTTGCTTCATGTTTATTGAAGTTTGGTGACAAAGGTATAAAAAAAAAAAAAATCTTTTCCTTTTCCTTGTGAACTTGACTAGTTTCTAACCCTAATGTGTTGTAGACCGGGGTAAAAAGAGGAAGGTTGAAGGGTCCTCAAGTTCTGACAAGGATGTTGATCAACCAGCAAAAAAGAAAAAGGAGTCCGAGGTGAGTTAGATTTAATATTTATGAGTTTGGAATGTATTTTAACGCAATTAATTAAAACAATTAATTAACGTGCGTTAACGCAATAGTTTTGACAGCCCTAGTTTAATTCAGTGTTCAATATCCCTAAAAGTTTCCAGATGATTGCTGAATGGTGAAATGCTGAGCTGGGGGTATCTGTACATGGGGCAACTATTAGTCATACACTACTGCACAAATCTGTTCTTTTGTGTAAAAGTGACATTAATAAATACAGCCTTAAAGCAAAACCATAACATTGTAGGTCTCTGGTGCATGTCTTTACAAATATTTTACATCTAAATGAGAAAAGTAATTACTCAGTACTCAGATATGCTTAGTATAATCTTTATTTTTGAAATTATTTGTAAAAAATATGATGAATAATTTAGCTTTTTCTTCACAATTGAAACAACAATACTTCACATGAAATGATAAAATATTGAGGGATCAAAAGAATGCGTGGTTGAGTGGGTGGATTTTTCAGTAGTTCTTCAGGGTTGGCAATGGAAACACTGTATAAACTTAAATAATCTGAGCACTGTGGTTTAAGTTCCTAGATTCTTTCTGAAAAAAAATGTAATGTTTGGTCCTAACAAGACAAAATGTCAAACATTTCATGAGGAATACTTTTACAAGGAATGTATGATCCATAATATATATTTTATTGCACATGTCACAACATATTTTTGGTTTTTATACCAAAAGGTGGAACTTGAAAACTGGAATAAACAAGAGGATATGGTCAGACGACTACAGAGGAAGTTTCCTGACCAAGATAAAGAAGTAAGAATGAAATCCTAGTGACTTGTGTAGATGTTTAATCCTTGTTTTATCCTTGGGTCAAATTGAACCATCACAATGATTACAGAATATCCTAAATAAAAGATACTAAATTCTAATGATTTTTTCCTAACTTGACCAGCACTGGGTCATTTAGACCCTAATTTAGGGTATTTTACTTCTACTTTTAACATCACCGTGGTGGGTATTTTTGACCCGAGGGTAGCACAAGGATTAAGCGATCTATGAGGACGATTCTCAGATATTTACTACTGTAATATTATGAATCAGGAGCTACGATCAGTGCTTGAAGAACATGAGTGGAACTACACTGAGGCACTTCAAGTTCTGCAGATGTTTTCCGACCCAGGTATGATTATTTGTTCATGAGGATTTTTGCTTTCTGATTTTTTCAAAAACATGTCCCCCAATTTCACTCTCCCACAGAAAATGCAAGCAGTAGTTCTCTGGAGTCTGGATGCAGTAAATCTAAAAAGTCTTCAGATAAAGAAGGCTCCAGTGGCAGTGAGGTTACGATGGACAGTGAGGATGACGTTTCAGAAGTCGTAGGGAGTTCAGGGAGCAAGCAGAAAACTAAAAACAAAAGCAAAACTCATAAAAGACAAATTAACATAAAAAGTTACTTCACCACTGTAGATTCGGATGACGCCAACTCGGAAAGCACAAGACACAGTTCGGATTCAGAATTAGAAGATGAGGATAACAAATCCAAACTTTCAAGGGTCCAGTTGCTGCAGAAAGGCACTGAACCATTAAAATCCTCCTCGAAACCAAAGCCTGCATCACAGGATAGACTCACCAGTGCCATTAGCCTGGCCAAGAAGGCAGCAGAAGAACGGAAGAGGCGAGTCCAGGCTAAAAGTCATGCCAAAGAAGTCAGCTCTGAGGAAGATGACTATGAGGAAGATGAAGAGGGGGGTGACAGTAGTGACTACGACGATTCTGAGGATGAGATGGAAACCCGAAAGGGTCCGACAGACACAAAGACTGAAATGCTAACGTTCTTCAATGAAGCCACCGTAGACGAGCTGACTCTCATCTCCGGCTGCTCTGTGAAGAAAGCACAGAAAATCATGTCACTGAGGCCCTTCGACAGCTGGGACAATCTGGTGAGTCCTTGCGATATGTTCTTCATAGATAAAGCGACAGCAATATTGTAAGTTAGTTATTGAAAGCAACTGATATTTTTAAGAATACTTTTGCACTGACATTGTTTGTCGATTTGATGAATCAATCCTGAATTTGATTAAATCATTTAGATATCATTTATATACTTGATGAATCTGCTGTAATTTTCTACTAGGGAAAATATTTATGTTTTTTTATGAGGATGGCCGATCAGAGAGAACACTGCGTGCCAAAGTATAGCAGATGTGGTGCCAGTGCAAATGTGTTGTCATAACTTGGAACTTAGGAGTTGTGTATTTGGCGGCTTGAGGTGCTGGTGCTACAGATGGGCATCTTCACCACTACATGTTACAACAACCAGTTGTAGATGTTGTAAATTACCCTATGATTTTCATCAAAGATGAAAAGCCCCTTTCCAAAATGTTGACATTTATTTTTCAGGGGGACTATATTCATAAGGACAATGGACTTTCGGAGGACTTATTGTTGGGTTGTAAAATTGTCCTGAAAGAGCGAAAGGTGGTGCTTGGTCTCATGTCAAAATGTGAGACAATTTCTTCAAAGCTCATTAAACAAGTCTCACAAGTTATGAAGAATGACACTCAGTCCAACAAACAGCCCAAACTACTTGGCCCATGGTAAGTCTTTAACAAAATATTTCATCCAGAATTATAAATAATCAATTCAATCAGCTTTGTATTCACATGAAAATCAGAAAGTTATTGAAGTTCATTTATTTCTATAATTCAACTTAAAATGTCAAACCCATATATGCTCTAGACTCGAACATGCTAAGTGACTTATGTCACCACACAAACTGTTCATCTCTTGTCATTACAACCTGTTTTAACATATAAAACTACTACTAATTATTTGCTCATTTGACTTCAGTTTGAATAAAATTTGTATTATTCATCTCTTTATAGCCTCCGATTGAAACCATATCAACTTATTGGTGTCAAGTGGCTGATGCTGTTGAATGAACACAAGCTGAGCTGTATCCTCGCTGATGAAATGGTGAGGAAACATCAGCTTAGATTCTTCAGAAAAGACCTATTTCTATTTGAAAATTCTATATTAATCTTCAATTCTATTCATCTTGACTCCTCTTGTCTCTCCATCTTACAGGGATTGGGGAAAACTATTCAAACCATTGCATTTCTTGCTCAACTTTATGAAAATGGAATGACTGGGCCACACCTCATTGTTGTCCCATCTTCCACACTAGGTAGTGACAATGGCTTCTGTCATGATTATTTTAAACTTATCTGGTACATTTGTGACAACATTTGAGAGTATGTGTGTATGTTTTTAGATAACTGGGACAGAGAACTGAAAATGTGGTGTCCAAAGTTGAATGTTGTGGTTTATTATGGTAAGCAGTGCTGCTTTTACAACCTGAAGCATTTGGACTGAGCTGTAGAAGCTTGATTAAAAACACTGAATGTAATATTTTCATATGGAGGCTCTGCAGAGGACCGGCGCTACCTCAAATGTGACATCCTGAATCGAGATATTGAATTTGATGTCATTGTGACAACGTGAGGAAAAATCCCATTTCACCTTTACGTGATATTGTGATATTTTTGTTTTATAACATTTTCATTCTACAGATATAATGTGGCGATTGGGAATGACAGCGACCGCAGCCTTTTCCGGAAACTGCGCCTTGTTTATGCCATCTTCGATGAAGGTCACATGCTGAAAAATATGAACTCTCTGAGATATCGCCATCTAATGGCAATCAATGTATGTACCTGTTTGGTTTTATATTTGTTACATATTGATTATTTTACTGAGCGCCTCGTTCTAGGCTAAGCACCGTGTGCTGCTCACCGGGACTCCAGTGCAGAACAACCTGTTGGAGCTCATGTCTCTGCTTAATTTCATCATGCCCTCCATGTTCTCCGACTCAACCTCTCAGCTCTCCAAGATGTTCTCACAGGTCAGTGTCCTTTTAGTGTCCTCCAGGTGAATCACACTGGGCCATCTGTGCCAGATAATCAATATTGTAAGACCAGATAAAACGAAGGAGTTTACAATACTTGAAGGTACACGTTGGCTTAAATTATTAAAGCGTATACAAATTTACTAAAATATATATATATATATATAAGATTTTATTGCACATTTGGAACATTTTACCCAACATTGAATGTATTATGTCGTTTGAAAATTGCATTTGTAAATGGTATGAAAGATTGCCTTTTTTTTCCAGAAATCATCTGAGGTAGAGAGTAAATTTGAGAGACAACGCATTTCACAAGCCAAAAGAATCATGAAACCATTCATCCTTAGAAGAGTGAAAACTGAAGTAAGATTATCATTCATTTCACCACCGAACACATTATTGTGTGTTCACAAAAATAATGTATCTTTAACTTTCCTCCAGGTCCTCAAACAGCTCCCAGACAAAGAAGAAACCATTGACTTCTGTTCCATGAGTGAGAAGCAGGAAGAACTCTACAAGGCACTTTTCAAAAAACTCAAGCGAACAGTTCCAGGCGAGAGTAAGCTGCATTGTATTGATACTTAAAAGGGATTTAAAAATACATTAAGATTATTATTTTTTATTTGAAGAGCGAGAGCTGGCCAATGTGATGATGCAGCTCAGGAAAATGGCCAATCACCCACTTCTACATCGACAATACTACACCATAGATAAACTCTGTGCTATGAGTAAACTTATGCTAAAGGTAAGGCCTTGAACATCTCTTCAAACTGCTCAAAATGATACATGCAGTTAATGAATATTTAATCAGTAAATATTGTGGGGAACTTATTTATTGTGGGGAGTGAGGCGAGGATATGTTGTGGGTAATTTTACTTTTGTCTGTTGCTGAAATGTGTTCAAAAAATGTTGTTGCATTTATTAAACATTGGCACATTATGGCTGTGATAGTTATCGGTATATGTCAAAATCATTATTTTGTATTAATCAAAAATCATTCCATTCCATAGACTCTTTCAAACTACTAAAATTGAATTATGTAATTATATCCATCCAACTCTCAAAACAGTTTTATTACTAGTTTTCCCATGCATGGATTTTGGCCTCTGTCACCTCTTTAGGTCAGCTTTTACACAGACAGAAGTGAAAAAGAGAGGCCCCCATCCACACTCTAATAGTATCTCAATTTAAATATGCTTACCACTTGTTGTGGTCTGCTTTGTTCACAAAATTATGCTTTGACAAAACTTTCTGTTTGGAGAAAGTAAATGTATTTATTTCACAAGCTCGTAACCCACCTTGCTCTTGGTGTCCGTGTATATTGTAGGAATGTGGGTGAATTGGGCGAGTGGTTCTTGGATGTCCAGTGCCTATGTCGGGGGAATTGCTTTATAAATGTGTTTAAACTGGTTTGCTTCACATCCCAAGATTGTGATTTATTATTTATTTATTTATTTAGACATTTATTTAAAGAGGAATAACCCCATGCATTTAAAAAAATGCCTTTTTTTAAATACATCATTAATACACTTAATTTCTTTTTATATATTCATAGGAGCCCACACATTTCGACGCTGATGCTGCTTTGATTCAGGAAGATATGGAAGTGATGTCAGACTTTGAGTTGCATAATCTGTGCAAACGGTACACCTCCCTCAGCTCATACCAACTCGAGACTGATGTTATACTTGACTCTGGGAAATTTAGACACCTTGCCCAGCTGCTGGGAAACATTAAGGAGAAGGTCTGTACCATCAGTCACATTAGATAATAAACTGGTTTTGGTGATAAAGAATAAAATCAAGAAATACATCTTCCTCCAGGGCAACCGTGTGGTGTTGTTCAGTCAGTTCACCATGATGTTGGACATTGTGGAAGTATTTCTGAGGCACCATCACCATGGATACGTTCGCCTGGATGGATCAACGCCTATTGCAGACAGGTGACATTTGGCACGTTTTTCTCCGGTTGCAATTATATTATGGTGCTTGATCTAGTCCTGAATTCAGATGGAGGACAGGTGCCTACATTGTCCACTGAACTGAATATCCTCAATGCAACAAGATTTTCATTGAAGCCGTTTGGTTCGAATACTAGTTTTCAAATGCATGTATTTTTGGCCTCCCTCACATCCTTAAACCTGCTTTTTCAGTGAATGCGTACCAGCCTCAAACGGCTCTCAGTGCGTAAAAGATAATAAGCTAAAGACGCCATGTTGGGCTTTGATTAGTTTGCATAATGTTACATGGACAGGACTTTTTCTGGGACAAACAAAATGTATTTATGAAACAAAAGGTTGGGAACTACGGAAGCTTGTTAGGTTCACTTGTGAGTGTTTTTTTTTTTTTTTTTTTTGCTGGTATCATGTTATTTCATGATACTTTCATGAAATAACATGATAAATATGTTATTTCATGATACCAATTTATCATGTTATTTCATGAAACACAACTATCATGTTATTTCATGAAACACAACTATCATATTATTTCATGATACACAACTATCATGTTATTTCATGATACACAACTATCATGTTATTTCATGATACACAACTATCATGTTATTTCATGATACCAATTTATCATGTTATTTCATGATACCAATTTATCATGTTATTTCATGATACACAACTATCATGTTATTTCATGATACCAATTTATCATGTTATTTCATGATACCAATTTATCATGTTATTTCATGATACACAACTATCATGTTATTTCATGATACACAACTATCATGTTATTTCATGATACACAACTATCATGTTATTTCATGAAACACAACTTATGTTATTTCATGATACCAATTTATCAGAAGAAGCTGACAGCTTCTTCTTCTGTATCTACAGTATCATGTTATTTCATGATAAACTGGTATCATGAAATAACATGATAAATTGGTATCATGAAATAACATGATAAATTGGTATCATGAAATAACATGATAGTTGTGTATCATAAAATAACATGATACCAGCGAGGAAAAAAAACACTCAAAAGTGAACCTAACAAGCTTCCGTAGGGAACAACTACTTTGATATGTAATGGTTGTTTTTTGTGTAACTCTGAACCAAAACATTATCACTTACAATTGACACCTAATATAATAAACGTTTATTACATGTTTTGTCAATGTTAATAGTTTGATATTTAAGATGTATTCATGTGTTGCAGGATTGTTCTAATTGACAAGTACAACAATGACAAGGAAATATTTGTGTTCTTGTTGTCGACGCGAGCCGGTGGCCTGGGCATTAACCTCACCTCAGCCAACGTTGTCATCCTTCATGATATCGACTGTAATCCCTACAACGACAAACAGGCAGAGGACCGGTGCCATAGACTGGGACAGACTAAGTAAGGCCATAAAAATGCACAAATTGGAGTTGCAGCCAAGCCATTTGAGAAACACAAGAATTGCATAAGAATTTGTCCCATAATAGCGCAGTAGAATATAGTATAGTTTACACTTGTCACTTTTACTGTCCAATCCATCCGCATTTTTCATTTTGTCTCTTCTCTGCAACGTACGCAGCTACAAGGCTATTTATTTCAGTCTTCAAGGTTTGACCTGACAGTGTCACTCAAGACGGGGTTCATATACCGTGCGGGTGTTCGGACGTTCTTTAGCGACAGGCTTAATAGTTTACAGTCCATGGTGTTGACGCTGCGTGTGTTTTGAAAGGTTCGAGGATGAGTAGCTGCGGGGGACAATCACTTGCGCATTTTAAGTTGAAAATGTTTTTATCTTTTTGACCGATATGTTAAAATAGTCTGCACATCGACTATTCTCAACCTCACACATGTGCTCAGTGTGACGTAAGCAACTGTGTTAATAATCACATGTGTTTTATTTTACAGTTAGCAATTAACGTCTAATTGTAATTTTGTTACAGTAACGCATTACAATCATCACAGTTCTGGAATAATAATGATAATAATCCATAAAATCAGGGCTGTCCAAACCTGTGGCTGCAGGTTTTATACCTTAAGAGCAGTGGGGGCGGGTCCCTGCTCAAAATAGTCCATAATCTCACTCGTTGTCCGTGGTGTTGTACCCAGAAACAGAATTATCCAACACATTCTAATGACGCCTTCTTTCAGCCAAGTCCAAAAGTCGGCTCTTGGCTCAACGCTGCGTTCCAGGTGCGTGTGAAGGCTGAGGGTTTTTCTCTTTGGACCAGCCTAGTTTAGCCGCTGTGGACTTTTGAATGCACTCGTTAAATGAACGGGAAGTGTCCACGCTCTTACCGGCTAACTCATGCGCACATGCTTTTTTTTTTCCCACATTTTCCTGAGTCGATATTGCAGACTATGTATTAAAGACACATGGCTGTACAATAACCTCTATTATCATCCCCTGTCGTTTGTTAGGACTGTTGAGGTAATCAAACTCATCAGCAAAGACACAATAGAAGCGTGCATCCTTCAACTTGGTCAAAGGAAACTAAAGCTGGAACAAGATATGACTGCAACAGACACAAGTAAGACTTTCTCTCTGAACTATTGGTCGTCATGTGGTCGGTGTGAACAGAAAGATAATATGGACAGAAATATATAAATGGACAATAAGCCTTTGTGATATGGGCTATGTATTTGCGCACGTAGAACACATTCTAGAGGCTTTTGTCCAGTTTTTTTTTCTTTTTCACTCTAATTTACAAGTGTCTGTCTTCTCAGTTAGTTCTATATGTCCAATGTTGTGCCCTGAAGCTCATAAATTACCTGTTGTATTTTTGCAGCAAATGAGGGGACCATCCCAGAGGACATGGCCTCATTGCTCAAAGCATCACTGGGACTCTGATACACTTTAATTGAGAAATAGAAGAAGCATTCCTGGAACTTTGAAGTGCTACACTGGAACAAGCTCCACAAACAAAGGAACATTCACTGACGCCATTGTCTCGATTATCAAATTACCCACTGTTTGCACACGATTTAAGTGACCCAATGCGTGTGCATATTCTGTACTTAGGTTAGCACTTACTACATTTCCAGAAGAAGCTGCTTTTTCTTATTTTGTACCAAATTGACAACATTTAGTTTTCATTTTGTATAAGGAAGTTTCCTCTCCATTGTCTTCAATACACTCCTTCAGCTAGCTACTGTATTCATCAACACAAGAATTCAAAAAGCATCATATTTAAGGAGGAACATAACTGTTATTTATCTGCAGAAAACCATTTTTGTTATTTTTATTAAGTTTTAAACCTAAGTTACAAATGATTGTTTCTGGGTTTTTTCTAAATGAACTACACATGAAATTTTGAATTCACAGGTTAAAAAGTAACCCATCTCTGCCTTTTTATTCAATGAGAGGAATAAATACAGCCACATTTTGAAATTGGAATAGATTTGGGCATTATATAATTGGCTTTGAGTTTGATTCCAGATGGAAAACCGCTTGATGTTGATGAATGTCTTGTATTTTAGTTAGATATGTGCTGTATTATTGAACATTTTCATTCATTTTTGTCTTAATGTACAATAGTAATGATCTAAAAAGAAAACTTGAACTTCAACTCTGGATACCTCCTGTTTCAAGTACTTTTATATTAACAAATGTGTTTAAATATGGTGCTCGGTGACAGGAACTGCTGTTGCCTCTCAAGGTTCTTGTTATGTCCAAGTGTAACAGTGTTTTTATATGTTTAGAATAAATAAATATTTCATTTTATTGCTTTTTGATAGTTTCTCTTACATTGACATTTGCATTGTGTAGATTTATTTTTCTCAACTTGTTTGAAATGAGTTCTGCACAGTCTGCTGCCATTTCTTTATTTAGGTACATTTGACTGAAATGAACACACATGGAGTACGCACTGTTTATTTACTTTTATTATATACAATTGTGATATCTACCTGCAGTGGCTATCCTGGTCTAAATGGTGATCCAATCTCCCTCCAGCTCCTCAGGCCCCAGGACAGTTCACTGTAGGGCCAGCAGGAGGTGCTGCTCATCTTTACAATAAAGATTGCAAGCCATCCAATGTTTAAAAAAGACTATTACAACAATGCTGAATTCATTCAAACTATGTCAAAATATTAAATATATTCTATTTCTTAAAAAAAATACTAACAAATAACTGAATACTACCACATACTTCACAATGCCACTACTACTCTGCACTGGGTGAGTATCTCCCACACCTGAAGCCGGTAAGATGAGGATCACATTTAATGGTGTAAGTAAAATACAGGACTCCTTTCTTGAGTTGGCAGCTGAGCCCATGAGTTCCTCTCTCAGGAAACACTAGGCACCTCCCAACCATATCATTGTACAACACATCCCTGTCCCAGACTTCAAACCACATCTCCTGACCGAGCTCCACTGACCCAAAGACATAGCTGCTGTTCCAAACTGGATTATTGTCATCCATTACTGTCGGTGTCTCCTCATACATTCCATTGTAGAAGATCTTTACATAAGCATCAGTTTTGGTGAAGGTATCTGCTCTCAGCCCTGCAGCTCTGTGCATCTCTAAAGTGAGAGTTCCTCTTCCGGCCCTTAGGGGGCAGCAGTTGTGGTCAAGGTTGGGCTTTGGTGAGCAATTCTTCGTGCCAAGCTCATCCTGCAGCTGGTTTTCCTTTATGTACTCTGTGACCGAATTCCTCAAGTTGCTGCTGATTTGTGGGTCATCCACTAGATGGTGCAAAGGGAAAATGGCATAAGAGACAACATCTGGGTTGTCCTGCAGACTGTTCATCCAGCTGTGGTAAGACTCAGATGGATCCTGGTCATATAGAATGTCAGGGAAATACCGTTCTCCTCCAAAAACCTCAATTTTATGCGTCATGAAGCCTTGGTAGAAGCCCATACTCATGTTACCCTTCAGGACGTCGTCACACTTGTTAGAAAACGAAACATTGCCTGGAAGGAAACCCAAAGCCATGCGGAGCTCTACGTTCAGGCATTTCTTGATCTGAGTCTCAGAGAAGCCCTTGAGCGTAGCCAAGCAAGTCCTGAACGCTGTTATTCTTCTCACTTTGCCTCCAAGTTGGACCTGAAAGTGATGGAAGTATGGAAAAGGTTATCTCTCTCAGCATGAGTGTCAAAGAACATGTTGTGCAGACCTGGTGTATGTAGTGGGTTCCATAAGTGTCTATGAGGCGTCTGTACAGAGCTTTGTCTTGGCTGGTGTTCAGGCTCTGTGGGAGCCTCTGCAGATGTTTGGTGAACTCTGTACTCAGCTGTGGATGGTCAGCCAGTCTGTAGCTGCAATAACAAAAGACAAGACTTCATTCACAAACAACAGTGACGGTTCTTTGATAGCAGCAGATTGCCACCTTGTGAACTAGCCTTTCATGTATTCATACATTTTTTTGAAAATGGTTTTGTATTTGAAGCAGGTCTCTGGGATTCACTCAAATTTGACCCTAAAACATCGTCTTTAGGCAACCCCTGACCTACTAAAACTACAAGCACTCATAGTGGAAGATGTATGCTCAGCTAAAAAAAAACCTTTACTTTTACTTCCTTATTTCAACTTCCACTTTTTCCACAAAGTATGTAAAATATGTATTTTACATACTTTGTAAAAAAAAAACTGTAAATCATTTGTTTTACTTACTTGGTGAAAACTGTTTTGTTTTCACCAAATGTAATAGAATTTGTAATTTGTGGAAATGGTTGAAGCCAAAACAATGTAAACAATGTAATCCTATCATTTCTGTTATGTCCCATTAGGGGACACCATAAAACATATAGAAACGTGTGTTACCTGTAGTATGTGCAGCTAATTTCATGGAGGGCAAAAGTAGCTCTGTCCACACTGTGCTGTGAGCGAGCAAATTTAGCCAAATCAGAACGACTCCCCCCAATAACAGCTTTCCCAACCTCATCCAGGCTTAGTCCTAGACCCCAGTTGTTGTTGACTAGAGAGCTGGAGCTGCGCAAAAGTGAGTCCACAGAATGATGAAGAGCACTAGACAGCTGCTTACTGCAGCGGCTGACAGGACGCCAGTCCAGCACTGCAGTTGGAAGCCTTTGAATCTGGAACACACGAGGAGAAGAAGAGAGTAACACACGAAACAATAATACTGATTTATAAAGTATAAATATGTATCTATTCACAACAGAGCAATTTAATTAAAATATTATGAAATAACACTTTAATGAAATAATTATTTTACCTCATGGGTCTGGTGAATCAAAATGCATGATTATACAGCAATAATATTATGAGTCTTTGTTGGAGGGTCATAATGCTGGTTCACCACTCTTTAAAAAGTGAGCAAACACAATTTTCCAATTCTAGACCTTTTTCATTTGAGATCATTGTAGTGCTGTCGACAATTGGTGAACAATGCAAGTGTTTTTTTTTGTTCAGTTCATTTATATTTGTTTATGCCTTTCATGTCTGCTAAAGATGACGCCTATAATTATTCACAACCCAATTTTGAAAATGAAAAGCTTGTGGTGTTATGGTGCTGATGATTACCTGTCCTTGCTGGAAGCGGTTGGGGCACAGAGTACAGGTGTGGTTGTCAAACAAGTGAGCTTTGACATTAATCACATAAGCACCTGTCCGACGCATCCTCACCACATCGAAGCCCTCTCCAGCCAGGTTGTGCCCAGGAACAAAAGAAGCCTTTTCACACTCTGTCCCGGATCCAGTGTAGCAGCCCTCAATATGACGGACCATAAGAACCATTGAGGAAGCCAGTATGTGCAGCAGAAAGGGGCTTATCTGCAACCAGTCGCCCTGCATTGTTGCCTGGAGATGGAAGAATGGACTCCGGTTGAATAATATGCAATGGACACAAGCAGCTGCAGAATCCTTGTGTGTGCAGAGAGAGGCATTGGTGTTTTAACAGTAGCTAGATGCATTCCTAATCCCCACATTTGAGTATAATCCTAGCACAGATGTTGACTCTGAAACATGCACAGACTTTGACAGGATTTTCTCTTACCTTTTTCTTGAACGTTTCCTTTGCTGATTTGTTTTTATACGCCAAGCCTCATCAAAAAGCAACACTTCCTTTCTTATAATAAACTTCTTTCTGATAACTCGGATTTACTTCAACCTTGTTCTATTTTTCCCTTAAGGTTCAGAATTCCCCTACTTTATCCCTCTATTGGCTTCCCCCTCTCCCTCTTTGTCCGAAGACCTTTAGACAATTTCCTCAGCATAACTGCGTTTGTTTTCATGAACATGACCTCTCTCCACAGATTGCTCCAAAACTGTGTGCGCATGTGCACGTGGGGGAGGGATAAACTTCTATAGTCACGAGAGATGAGACATGCCTTTCCTTGGTGATCCCTCTTTACTGGAAATGCAGGGTAGTGCCCACGGCACTGTCAGTGTTGTTATATCCACAGTCTGTGCTCTGTGTACTCAGTCATTCAATCATTTTAGGTTAGAGCCAGAGGCATGGCATGACCTCCAAATATTTGAGGTCATTCTGAAGCAATGAACTGGCCCCATCTTTGTTTTGGTAATGGTTGATTATACATTGTATTAATACATACAACTGGTAACAAACTGTGACATCTCTGTAATCTTAGATTGGCAAACAGTAAATTACATATTTCATATATTAAATGTAAACTTACCACAAAGCTTTGGAGACATGTTTATAGTAAAATCATATATAACTGGAGTTACTCGTCTTTAAATTGATTAATTTACTAACACAAATCTCATGTTGTATATTTTGCAGTCATACAGAAATTTGACACATTTCAGTAATTTACCTTACTGGAAAAGACATGCATTTAAAGAGCTCATTTGTCATGTTATAGATAGAACAGTGAGCAATTATTACATTATTGGTAAGGGGAAACCAGAGCACTCAGAGGAAATCTATGCAGACACAGGGAGAACGTGCAAACTCCACACAGAAAGGCCTCGTCTCGAGGTGGAATCAAACCCAGGACCACCTCCAGCTGTGAACTTAAATGTGTGTTTTGCCTCATGTAGGCGATGATCATGTTACAGGTGGGACCAGGTTCTTTGGACCCGGTTTTAAAAGAGACCACTGGATCAAAAAGTTAAAACAATTTATTATCGAATACAAAAAAACAAGTGAAGGGATCAAAAAGCAATAAAAAACAAAGCTAAAAACTGAGATAAAAGCTAAACAGAGGATATAATAGGCTAAAACCCCGGGCCGTGGGGAGCTGGGGTGCTCAGGGTGGTGCAAGTTATAAACAATGTTAAAACACACTCACAAGATGCATAAATCACATACAACCATATTTTGCACCCACCGACAATCACATTTATTACTACACTACGATGTGCCATTTGGAATATACAATTACATAGACTTTAGTATTTGATTCCGCATTTGTGGTTGAATTGTGTTTGTTCTCTAAAATGTGTTTAGGCTTGCTGAGTTAATCCTTCAGTTTCCTCAGCATCTCCCTCAATTTCCTGATAATTTCTTGTAATGCTGAATCTTGTCAGCCTTTGTCTTCTCTTGAAAATGAACACTGCCCCTATAACCACCAAGGCCAGCAGAGCTAGCACCCCGAAAGCTACCCCAGTCTGTTCCCCACTGTTCAGCTTGTTATATTCAGGGTCCAATTTCTTCACCATATCCTGGATTTCCTCTGCTTTGGCCAGCTTCCACAATTTGGTTGAACCGACTCTGACCCAGTTCTTGTCTCCTTCGGTCATGACCATCACCGTGTTGGTGGCTTGCATGCTGATGAGAGGGGGTTTGGTGAATGGAGGAAGTCGAATAGGTTTCAGCTGTCCTTCAGTGAACAGCCCTGACTGGACACAGTAAAGGACATCACACCCATCGCTCACAGTAGCAAGGTGCTGACTGAATGTAGGAGGACAGCGGCTTTGATTGTTTGACAGGGGGTTGGTTGACTGGCAGCTGAAGAGACCTCCAAATTTCACCGCAAATCTGGAGCCTGTTTCATAGTCACGACTTAGACACAGCATCATTCCATCCGAGAGGAACTTGTGATCCCTAAAATTAGGAGGACATCCTTTGGATTTAGTGATGGGATTGAGTGTGGATGGACTGTAGAAACCTCCAAATAGATATCCAGAGTTATCCGGAGCTTTCCCATTTACTGAGCACCAGTAGGTTTCAATGCGAGCAGAACGCACATAGTAATTGTCACGACAAATTTGTTGGTGGCAATGTTGTAAATTAAAAAACCCACACTTGTAGGTGTGATCATAACATTCATACGAAGTGTATCCTTCCTGTCTCACTTCAGATCTCAGTAAAGTGGGTGTGTAAGGAGAACGGCAGGAGAAGTCACCAGTGTCTGGGTTCTTTTGGGTCAGTTTGTCACATAATGGTTCTGCATCTGGACTCAACTGAGTACACTTTTGATAGACACCTCCAAAGCTGAGGTTGGTCGCTGGCCCTTCACACGATGAATCATCTACGTTCGCCTGAAAGTTGAAATTCTCTGAGTTGACATCTACACAGCCTGGGCGAGTGTTGACCTCATAATAACGCTGTATGGCCTTTTTAACAAATTTGGACACCTTTTTCACTGTGGGCTGAGGCAGATCAGGCAGTGTGTTGTGGTCGATAAGATGATGTAGGGGGACTCCAGAGCGGTCAATAGCCACCAGGTTGTTTTTTATACTTTCCTGCCACTTCTGCAGAGTGATTCCAGGATAAAAAGGCACACCTCCATGACTCTGTATTAAAGAGTATTGAATATTGGACTGGTACGTCTGAAGGGTGGAACTTTGCTGGGAACTCTCCCCACCTATGTCAAATTTGAGTGTGTTAAAAAAGTTAAATCCAGCTTGTGCTTTCACATTACTAAGCTGTGAAACATTATCTGTAATATACTTGGAGCTGAGGTAGTCCTCCTCCACTAAAGAGGCTCCCGCATCAACGCTGGTGATCACGTGGGTTCCGTAGTCCACCACCATCTTCTCCGACAGATAATCTGCATTCTTGGTCTGGTTGTTTTCAATGGCATCTGCGATGTCTTTGGCTTGCTGAACAAACCGTGAGTCAAGTGTGAAGTCTGGATATGCCTTCACAGTGTAGAGGAAGTTGCGCACCTAAAACACAAAGTCATAAACATATACATATATATATATATATATATATGCATATATATATATATATATATATATATATATATATATATATATATATATATATATATATATATGAAAATATATATATATATATATATATATATATATATATATATATATATATATATATATATATATATATGCAATATATATATATATATATATATAGCATATATATATATATATGCATATATATATATATATATATATATATGCATGTATATGTGTATATATGTATATATACTGTATATATATGTATATCTATGTATATACTGTATATATATATGTATGTAAATATATATATATTATATATATTATTATATATATATATATATATATATATATATATATATATAATATATATATTATATATATATATATATATATATATATATATAATATATATATATATATATATACATACATATATATTACACATATATACACATATTATATATACAGTACATATACTGTATGCATAAATGTAAAACTTACCTGCACTCTGGTTGTTGTTGAAGAATCCTTGACCTGATGCGTTTTCATTCTTTGGTTTTCAGTTGAAAATTTACCATTCACTTTAGTGAGGAAGGACACATCTGCATTTATAGAGCTAGAGGTGACGCTCTTCTGCTCCATCCATGAGCTGATTATCTCTGAGTTTGTCTCCACACCCGTCTCCTTTTTAGGAATCACAAACACCTCGTCTGGGATGAGGTAGAACCCGTCCTCAGTGGTCTGACACTGAAGGTAGCTGAAGTTCATCACTCGGCCCATGTCTATGTTCCTGAGGTTGTCCCAGCCTCCTCCGGGCAAGACGCCCAGAGATGTGAGGGAGAGGTTTGTAGCAGTGCGGCATTGTCTCAGCCAGTTGGAAGGATGACTTGTCGAAAAAGAAGGTCCTGTTTTTAGGAGGAAGAGAGTCAGACATAAAAACACTGACTCCATGTTGACTGTGACTGATTTTGAATGTGAAACAAGGTTTTTAAGTTCAAGGCAACTTCCCCTTTGTGGCAGAGTTTGTCACGAGATGGGAATGTTTGGGGAGGAGCAAACTTTCTGTTGCATGTGAGCTTACCTGAGTGAAAATGAAAAATCACTGTGCAAAATGTTTAAATACATTGAAGCTTAGTTTATACTGACTTTATCATTATCATACTGTACAATTGTGTCAACTAATTCAGACACTTGTTCAAAGATGGAATTAAATTACTGAGTAACAAACAACTATATCACCTTCCTGTTAACCACAAAAGTGCACAGTACAAAAGCGCACAGACTTCTTTTGTATAGTTTCTTCTGCTGCATTAGCACAGTATGATATATGTCATTTTTCCTGTCTAGAATGTACCGTTTATATTATTCCTTGACATAAAAGTTTACATCATGATTTAAAGTTCACCTGCCAAAACTTTTTAAATGGTACTATTATGACAAATATCGAAACAAAGTAAAATTCTCTTTTGGCCAATTTAAATAAATTGGTTGTCCCACAAACATAGTGTAGTGTATGTAAATATACTCGTGCACACCAGTGAATATATCAAGCAAACAATTGTTGTTCATGTCTGTTCATGTTCTGGGAACCACCTTTGAAACAAGGTGGAGCCTAAATCAACAACAACACGTGTGTTATCTCAAAGGCCTCATATCAATAACATTAAAGAAAATATATTCTGCCCAAAGTGTGGAAACATTAGTGCTCCAAGGTTGCAGTACAAGAATAGGAATGTATGGAGCACTCAAGTGAAAGGATGAATACCTGTAAACGAATGAAATAAATGTCTGTATGCACGGATGTTGAAAAGTTACAAAATTATAGTTCACAATGCAGAGATGGGGACTCGTGATTATCTTTCTTTTTAGACATTTGCAGAGTCCCCTCAACATTCAAGACTCGACTCAAACTCATTCCTAAAGACTCAGAATTAACTCGGACTCGTTGGTTTTAGGACTGATGAGTTTCTCTGGTAGTGGTTTACACAGTTATTTATAAAGTAAGAACCACTTAATTCATTGTTCCCTTTCCTGGGCCGTATCTAGTTATTGTAAATCACGTGAGCAGATGTCTTCGGAAAGTCCCCAGCACCATTTTATGTTTAGCAGCTTCACTATTTAATTTTTATTTTTTTAGAAATGCAAAAGTACCAAGAAGTCTTTTCTTCCGTCTTTTATTGTTTATTTCCATTTCCATCAACACCCAATACATGAAGCAGATTATACACAATTTATTAATGCCAATTACTTAATTAGAATCAAAACAAATAGAACATCTTATGGGTTTTTTATTTCTGCCCTGGACCTGTGTGCAGTTATGTTTGTTTCTATGTTTACTAACGTTTATCAATAAAAAGAATAAATAAAAAAAAGTGAATAGAAAATATATTTATTGTAATATATGTAGTAATGATATAATTCAATAGCTTTTGCCAATGTTGTTTGGAAGATATGGCATTTGAAGCACAAAATACAGCCAAGGAAAAATGTATCATTGTTATTCTCATTTTTGCGATCCTCAATGCCATTATTTCCCAACCTCAGCAGCGTAATATATTGCACATGTAAATACAGATTCACTCAAATAAATGACTCAACAGATTAGGTTAATCATTTTACACATTCTCTTTTCACCAATACCACCAACAACTACCACCTCATCTGGACGCTCGCCTTTGTCAAGGGTTCGTTATTTACTATGTTACAGATTATGTGTGATTCTTTGATTTTTGCTATTCTCCTCACAACTCTTCTCAAACCTAAACTATTGGAACCTCCTGTAATTTCCTTTCTTGAAAAAGCTTGCTGCTACCACAACCATCAATGTCACCAGAGCCAGCACCCCAAAAACTACCACTGTCTTTCCCCAATTGGTCAGCTCAGTATTTTCAGAGTCCATCTTTTTGTGAAGTGAAGATTTTGTAAACGGCGGCAGAATAACAGGTTGCAGGTCCCTTTCAGTAAAAGACTTTGACTGGACACAGTAACGGATCTCACAGTCATCACTGACAGCAGCCACATGTTGGCTAAACTTAGGAGGACAGCGGCTTTGATTGTTTGCCAGGGGGTTGGTTGATTCACAGCTGAAGAAGCCTCCAAAAGGCACAGCAAATCTGGAGTTCCTTTCATAGTCATCGCTGAGACACAACACAATTCCATCTGATAGAAATGTGACTGCAACAAAGCTTGAAGGACAATCTTTGGTAGAGAGACCTCCAAAGAGATATCCAGAGTCAGCCGGGGCTTTTCCAGTCCTTGAGCACCAGTAAGTTTGAATCTCAGCGGAACGGTTGTAGTGATGGGTTTCACAAATAGTTTCGTTGCAGTAATACATATTAAAAAAAACACATCGTATCTGCTTGTCGTGGCATTCATTAAGAGTATCATCTTCCTGCCTCACTTCAGTTCTAAGTAAAGTGTATAGTTTCTTCTGCTGCATTAGCACAGTATGATATATGTCTTTTTTCCTGTCTAGAATGTACCGTTTATATTATTCCTTGACATAAAAGTTTACATCATGATTTAAAGTTCACCTGCCAAAACTTTTTAAATGGTACTGTTATGACAAATATCGAAACAAAGTAAAAGTCTCTTTTGGCCAATTTAAATAAATTGGTTGTCCCACAAACATAGTGTAGTGTATGTAACTATACTCGTGCACACAAGTGAATATATCAGGCAAACAATTGTTGTTCATGTCTGTTCATGTTCTGGGAACCACCTTTGAAACAAGGTGGAGCCTAAATCAACAACAACAACACATGTGTTATCTCAAAGGCCTCATATCAATAACATTAAAGAAAATATATTCTGCCCAAAGTGTGGAAACATTAGTGCTCCAATGTTGCAGTACAAGAATAGGAATGTATGGAGCACTCAAGTGAAAGGATGAATAGATGTGGTTGAATTGTGTTTGTTCTCTAAAATGTGTTTAGGCTTGCTGAGTTAATCCTTCAGTTTCCTCAGCATCTCCCTCAATTTCCTGATAATTTCTTGTAATGCTGAATTTTGTCAGCCTTTGTCTTCTCTTGAAAATGAACACTGCCCCTATAACCACCAAGGCCAGCAGAGCTAGCACCCCGAAAGCTACCCCAGTCTGTTCCCCACTGTTCAGCTTGTTATATTCAGGGTCCAATTTCTTCACCATATCCTGGATTTCCTCTGCTTTGGCCAGTTTCCACAATTTGGTTGAACCGACTCTGACCCAGTTCTTGTCTCCTTCGGTCATGACTATCACCGTGTTGGTGGCTTGCATGCTGATGAGAGGGGGTTTGGTGAATGGAGGAAGTCGAATAGGTTTCAGCTGTCCTTCAGTGAACAGCCCTGACTGGACACAGTAAAGGACATCACACCCATCGCTCACAGTAGCAAGGTGCTGACTGAATGTAGGAGGACAGCGCCTTTGATTGTTTGACAGGGGGTTGGTTGACTGGCAGCTGAAGAGACCTCCAAATTTTACCGCAAATCTGGAGCCTGTTTCATAGTCACGACTTAGACACAGCATCATTCCATCCGAGAGGAACTTGTGATCCCTAAAATTAGGAGGACATCCTTTGGATTTAGTGATGGGATTGAGTGTGGATGGACTGTAGAAACCTCCAAATAGATATCCAGAGTTATCCGGAGCTTTCCCATTTACTGAGCACCAGTAGGTTTCAATGCGAGCAGAACGCACATGGTAATTGTCACGACAAATTTGTTGGTGGCAATGTTGTAAATGCAAAAACCCACACTTGTAGGTGTGATCATAACATTCATACGAAGTGTATCCTTCCTGTCTCACTTCAGATCTCAGTAAAGTGGGTGTGTAAGGAGAACGGCAGGAGAAGTCACCAGTGTCTGGGTTCTTTTGGGTCAGTTTGTCACATAATGGTTCTGCATCTGGACTCAACTGAGTACACTTTTGATAGACACCTCCAAAGCTGAGGTTGGTCGCTGGCCCTTCACACGATGAATCATCTACGTTCGCCTGAAAGTTGAAATTCTCTGAGTTGACATCTACACAGCCTGGGCGAGTGTTGACCTCATAATAACGCTGTATGGCCTTTTTAACAAATTTGGACACCTTTTTCACTGTTGGCTGAGGCAGATCAGGCAGTGTGTTGTGGTCGATAAGATGATGTAGGGGGACTCCAGAGCGGTCAATAGCCACCAGGTTGTTTTTTATACTTTCCTGCCACTTCTGCAGAGTGATTCCAGGATAAAAAGGCACACCTCCATGACTCTGTATTAAAGAGTATTGAATATTGGACTGGTACGTCTGAAGGGTGGAACTTTGCTGGGAACTCTCCCCACCTATGTCAAATTTGAGTGTGTTAAAAAAGTTAAATCCAGCTTGTGCTTTCACATTACTAAGCTGTGAAACATTATCTGTAATATACTTGGAGCTGAGGTAGTCCTCCTCCACTAAAGAGGCTCCCGCATCAACACTGGTGATCACGTGGGTTCCGTAGTCCACCACCATCTTCTCCGACAGATAATCTGCATTCTTGGTCTGGTTGTTTTCAATGGCATCTGCGATGTCTTTGGCTTGCTGAACAAACCGTGAGTCAAGTGTGAAGTCTGGATATGCCTTCACAGTGTAGAGGAAGTTGCGCACCTAAAACACAAAGTCATAAACATATACATATATATATATATATATATATATATATATACATATATATATATATATATATATATATATATATATATATATATATATATATAATATATATATATATTTACATACATATATATATACAGTATATACATAGATATACAGTATATATACATATATACACATATACATGCATATATATATATGCATATATATATATATATATATATATGCATATATATATATATATATATGCATGTATATGTGTATATATGTATATATACTGTATATATATGTATATCTATGTATATACTGTATATATATATGTATGTAAATATATATATATATATAT